AAATATTTTGTAATAAAACAGGCATGCAAATTAACTTTAAAAAAACAAAAGTAATTGTATTTAGGCAAGGTGGCCATCTTCGCAATTATGATAAGTGGTTTTATCATGGTGAACCTATTGAAACTGTTTCAAGCTATAGATATCTTGGCTTAATGTTTACACCTAAGCTTGTATGGAGTAAGGCACAAACTACTCTAGCATCCCAAGCCACCAAAGCAATTTTAGCCATTAACTCTTTACAAAGGATAATTGGTAATATCACTTGTACAGATCTGTTTAAGGCTTTTGACTCTATGGTCACCCCCATCATAACCTATGGCTCTGAAATTTGGGGTACTTGCTATTGTAAAAAAATCGAATCTGTCCAAATCGCCTCTTGTAAGCATTATTTAAAAGTAAACAAATCAACCTGCTCAAATATGGTTTTAGGGGAATGTGGGAGGTTTCCTTTACAACTCACTTACATGACTAAAGTAATTAAATATTGGTGCAGGCTCTTACATCTTCAACCCCTTTGCTATTTAATGCTTAAATCTTTAGATGATGTTGGGCGGGTAACTTTGGCGACAAAAGTTAGAAATATTTTATTCCAATTTGGGTTTGGTTTTGTATGGCTCAATCAAGAGGTGGGTGACTCTAAAGCTTTTATTCCCCATTTTAAGCAAAGTCTCAAAGATAATTTACAGCAATTCTGGAGTGCTTCTGTAAACTCTTCTCCAAAATGTGATCTTTATAAGCATTTTAAATCCATGTTAAATGTTGAAAGGTACTTGTCATGTCCACTCCCTACCCATTTAAGAATTGTTTTTACTAAATTCAGATGTTCAAATTTTAAAATAGCTTTAGAAACTGGCAGATATAGTAAAACAGACCGTTCACTCAGATTCTGTAACTATTGTAGTAGTGAGGGAGTTAATGTCATTGAGGATGAATTCCATGTACTCTTTAATTGTAATTTATATTCTGCCCTAAGACAAAAATACCTTGTTAATCTTCCTATGCCTACTCATTACAGTAATTCTCATGTAATGAATATTCTTAGTAATTATAATGAGCAAACATTATTTCTAGTTTGTAAATTCTTATATTATGCTCACAAAATAATTAATGATAAATTCTGTGCCCTGTAAATGTCATGCTCACATGTCTGTATTTTGGGCCATTGGCCTTTTACTGATTAAACATGTCTGTCTGTCTGTCTGTCTGTCAATGAATCAGTGAACACTCGATTTACATTCTCAGCTCCCTGGGGAGTATACAAACCAAGCTGCCTGTGAGGCGCTAGAAGGTTAACAGCCACATTACCATCTCATCCTACCGGGTACCCACACACTGCTGGGTGAACAGAGGCACATTTCGAACAAAGTCACTTGCCTAAGATGACACCACATGTGGTACATGTGCTTCAGTGTGGGGCAGGACCGAAGCCCCAGAAACTCTCAGGAGTCAAGCTGCTGAACTTGGTCACCCATCCAAGTACTCTCCGAGACCGACGTTGCTTAACTTCACCTGTTTTGTGATCTGTGCACAGAACCACGTGTCACCACAATCATGGTTGCCTGTAAATAAAAGCGATAAAACCCTTATAAATTCACAAGAAACCACAACCAAAAGCAGAGTCCGACTATTGCATTAGCATTCGTCCATGAATCACCACCATATAGCACTGATATCAGTTGTTCGCGAAACGGTCAGTGTATCCTACCTAACTGGTGGCACCCGTCACAGACACACGCAAAGGCAAGTCAAATGTTCACCTGAAAAACCTCGGGAGCATATGGTACAAGTCAAAATAGGGAATTGCATCGGACATTTTTCACTGATGCGTCAACATTGGAAATGTCTTCCACATGTTACCATAAAACTTTTTGAAAGCTTTACTGATAAATACAACCCCAGGCCAGGTTCCACGAATCAATCTTTACTCTACGACTGTTATTAGTAAAGTATATGTTGAGAATAAGAAACCTATGAGACTTTCGTCGATCGTAGCGCTACGTTTTTCTTTGGGAAACGGGACACTTAACTAGACAAACGAGTGGTCGACAGCGTGAGCAGCGGTCCACGCCGCTGGAGTCAGATCACACACAGTCAAGCAGGCACTGCCAGGCTTCATCCTTCAACCACCCTAGAACTATTCATCCTCGGTGGCCGTTTTGACCACCCAATTCCCAATTCAGTATGCTGATACGGCAAAGAAGACGCCATCGGCGCGTACTCGGTCAGCTCCAAGGGATGCAGCGCACCTTAACCGACTGTTTAAACGTATTTGCGTCTTGTCGCGTTGTCCAAACATCCACCCGTCCGTTATTCATCTCCTCTGAAACCAGTAGGCCTATGAGTGAGTGAGTGTGTTTTGTTTTACGCTGCTTTAGCAATATTCCAGCATTATCACAGCGGAGGACGCCATAAATGGGCTTCACACATTGTACCCATGTGGGAATCGAACCCAGACTTTCGGCGTGATGAGCGAACACTTTAACAACTAGGCTACCCAACGCCCCTTAGGTCTGAGAAGCTGAAGTGGTGTGTATTTGGTCCTAAACATTGTTTAGAGAGTTCCGATGCGGGTATAAAAATGGATGCTATTTTGACACTTTTCGGTTTTGCCCACTACTGCACACATGATACATAGACCGTAAAATTTCATTTATGGTTGTACCTGTTATTAAGTTTGTCGTGTCCATGTTCACCAGTTCACAGGGGGTTTATGCACCTAATGTTGCCAATATTCCAGAAAACTCAGGTGAGCTACAGAGCCTTGTGCTTTTGTATCATGGTATAAAACCACAAGGTTCACCATATATCCCAGAGCGGGGATATGCCAGATTGCCCTGATCACACCAGCGCTGGGATAGTGGCACAGTTCAATACCCGCTGTATTCCGCGATTCCTCGGTCGCGGAATTTATGCAGAAATGCCCACTCGGTGCAGAAATGTACATTTTGGGCAGAACTCGTGCAGATCATGCAGAATTTTCCATTTATCTGCCGCAGAATTCGTACAATACACTGTACAATTGTAACATAGTTGAAAGCTGGTTTTAAACGTGTAAACGGATATTTATTTCGAATTGAAGTGAAGCAGACTTTTGTAGCACTGCTTACCGACAATGCGTGAAGGGTAAAGCCACGGCTGTTATTATCTCCCGCCACGAAAAAGACGGGGATATAGGAATGGGTGCTGTCCGTCCGTCCTTCACGTTTCGTTTCCGAAGCAGAACTAAAAAACATGAGATATATCTTAACCAAACCAGAGTCTATAAAACAAAATATTTTATGGTCTCTGACCAAACCTCGCACACAGATGGGCCTACTGTTGAACTGATAACAGAGTTTGGGGTTTTTGAAAAAAATATTTTCCGAGTTTCCATCTCTTAGACAGGAAATGGCGGTAGTGCTCGCAGATCTTGAAAGCCGTACAATATTTCTTCACCAAACTTGGTACATAGATAGGTCTAGTGGTGCCTAAACTGGTGTCTTTTGATAGTTTGGCGGGGGATATGAGTATTTCGTGCTTGTTGCTTTAGGGTCAATATACTGCTAACCCATCTGCTGCCCCGAGTAGAATATATATACATGATTGACTCCATGTACACTACCATGCGGAACCCGTGTCATCAAGCGACGACAGCGCAAAACTGCTCTGCCCCTTTATTAAGGTATAACTAACACGTCTGTCAAACTCCCAACTTTAAACACGACCCCATATTAGAAAGCAACCATAGCCACGCCACCGTGGAAATCCTATGTACCGCGTCCGCGGTCTAGTGGATAGAGCGTCTATCCAGACCTGGAAGGTCGGTGGTTCGTAAAGGGGATCAAAGACGGGAGACTGCGTCTGAATGGGATATCCATGTTTAACTGTTGTTTGGTAGCGGGATGACACTTTACACGTCACCTCACCGTAGTCCTATGTTAAAGTACCGTTTTTCCTCTATTAGACGCCCGGGGATCTATTAATTTCTCGCAAGACGTTGACTCGGTGTCTATTCTGTTTAAGGCTGTCACAAGGATAAAGGGTAGACACAAAGGGTACATTTACACGAAACGGTAATCAATAATCACCAACACGTAACAGTATAAACTTGGAAACTATTACCTTGGACATCCAACGATCCCTGTATTCCGCCGTAACATATATGTACAGTAAACTACGGTTATAACGAACACACTTATAACGAACTGACGGATATAACGAACTTACTTTTTTGGTCCCGACTATTTGCTGTAGTTATGCTGTATATATGCTTATAACGAACTACGGTTATAACGAACTAAAATTAGTAGTCCCTTTGAGTTCGTTATAACCGTAGTTTACTGCAGTTAAACAATGGATAATTAAGTTCATCAAATGATGGACCCAGCATCTATTAAATGTCTAATAGAGGTCCGGCTTCTATCTTATTCCCGGACAGAGCGTATGTCGTGGCGTCCATTAGAGGCCGGTATGTATTGGAGTCGCGGCTTCTAATAGAGGAAATACGGTTTATTGAGATAACCAACTCACAGCGCTTTGCGCAACATGGCATCGAGTAAAAGCACCCTCATTAATTCTTCATACCCCGAGTGTATCACTTTCGTGATAACGAAACTATTTGAAACTAATTATGTTTAAAATTTAACGCTCATATTTCACAACTGATTGTTTTATATTCCCCGACCTCGTTACCGTTATCTTCATGAGAAACATATAAATATTTTCTGGTGTTATGGCGTCATGGGTGGCCTACATTCTCCAAACTTGGCTGTGATGATAACAGACCCATTGTATCAACTTTAACTGGAAGAGTGAGTTAGTATGGAATTACAACGTTTTTAACAATATCCCAGCAATATCAATATTGTATGTGAATCGAACCCGGGTCTTTGGCGTGACGAGCAAACACTTTCACCGCTAGGCCACCCAAACGCCCTTCTCTGGAAGATTAACATGTTGGAATGAATAGAGTTGTGTATATTTTAGAGATGATTTAAAATGTATCTTTTATATTATTTCAGACAAAACCTCCTTGGCGGTATCATGTAATGGCATAGCGATCCCGGCAGCTGTGAGTAGTTATTTTTGTATGATAACCAAATATAATTTCAAAGTGTGTGTGTTATCCTATTTTTCGCGATTCTGCTTGGCTCACGTGGAATCAAAATTGAATATTATTTTTCGATAATTGCAGAAAATAATTTAGAACCCGGAACTACAGTAAAAACTCGATTCAGTGCACTAATGTACAAGCTTTGAATCAATGTCTAAAATATAAGTGGTAACTCTACAGGTATTGCACTGACAAACACCTGCGAGAGCCCCTTTAATGAACTAATAATCACTTATAAAACAAACTGTTGAAAGGAGGATATTTTATTGATTTAAGAGCTTATAGCTGCATTCACCTCCCGAGGCAAGGGAGTTAACTGATGAAAAAGTCCAGTTTCCACTCTTGCCGAACAGGTCTGAAATTGCGTAGCTCGCTCACCAGTTGTCATTACGAGTTTTTGTTTGTTTGGGTTATTTTGTATCGAAAAACCGAAGTGCCAACTTTTGTAAGAATTCGCTACGCGGATTCATACAGTTTGCACATTGGTTTTTCGATTCATACCTCAATGAACCGAAAAAAATACACAGTCAATCCTTAATGAAAAAATGATTTCACGATAAAGTATTGTTCTATCATGACGTCATTTCTGGAGATTCGAACATGCGCTCGCAACTTGATGACGTCGTATCGCATCCAAAAGCGGGAGAGATTTGACAATCGGTACTGGGAGAAAACGCGCAGGTAATCGACGTGAGGATTGTGAGAATACGCGGGATATATCTACCTGTGCATAAAATGGACTTTTAATTTGAAAAAAAAGTACTTCGTCGAAAAACAGATTTGAGTGAATACGAGTGTTATCACAGTGCATTTATTTTCCTTGATGTCTACGTGTTTTATATCGCTGTTCACAGCGGGTGTTTTCAGAAGTAGAATAATCTGATCTAAATTATAAGATTCACGCTGAGAAGTAATAGTTTCGTAAAGAGCTCGGTGGTGCATGTAATATTGCCAATTAGTTGAGTGGCACGTGGTAAACACGGTAAAAACATGGTAAAAACATGGTAAAAACATTGTTATTCATTGATACACTTATTTATTGTGTTATAACGGCGTATTACAAAATAGTCAATCTATGTGATGGGACCCGTGAAGATCCGGGTTGAATAGGTCTTCAGCAACCGATGCTTGCCGTAAAAGGGGACTTGCTTGTCGTAAGAGGCGACTAACGGGATCGGGTGGTTAGGCTCGCTGGCTTGGTTGATGCATGTCATCGTGTCCCAATTGCTTTGATCGATGCTCATGATATTAATCACTGGATTGTCTTGTCCAGACTCGATTATTTACAGACCGTCGTCATATAGCTGGAATATTGCTGAGTGCGGCTTTAAACAATAAACCAACCAACCAAACAAATCGTTCGAAAATACACACGTCTCTTTCGCTACAGTTTATTCCCCTGTTAGGATTACGGGTTGGAGAATATCCCCAGTAATATTTGTTTGTTATTGGAGGCAACGAAATGGAACGGGTGACGTGCAGAATTAAACCTCGGCGTCACCGCCAATCTTGTAAACGTCACAGTAAATAGCATATTTGAATTGCGGTTTAATTGATATTTATATTCATGAAACAGACGGGTTTACTTGTAAATGTAATTTTGTTAAAGGTCATTTTGGGAAGGTTTGATATGAATATTTATCAAAGATAACCGAATTAATAAAAATCGTAATTGCACTTGTGCAAATATCACTTCTAACGCAACTCGAATTGTATTGTGACGTAAATAAACGACGGCCTAGCTGAAGATTGTTGACGTCTTTCGACAATTATGGTTTTCTGAGACAGCGGTCGTGATTAGTGCATTTTTATACCCCGCAACGAAGTGAAAGGGAGAAAAAGGAATTGGTGTCCGTCCTTCCGTCCTTCACGTTTCGTGAAAGATATCTCAAACAAACTTGGCACGTAAATAGGTCTAGTGTTGAACTGTGCCTTTTTAAAAAATATATTTTACGAGTTTCCATGGCAACGACTTTGACTTAGACTTCTGGAGCAGATCTTGAAAACCGTACACTACTTCTTGACTTGCACACTGGACATGACATATTGGCAGGGGATATGAGTATGTCATACTTGTTATGTAGGGGAGCTCGAAAAGTGTAAGAATTAATGGGTAACAAGAAAACTTTGATCTAGAGGATAAACACGGCGCGAAGAAATTCTGTAGTATACCTGCCTATTCTATGCAAGTACATATACTGTCATAAAGCGCACATATGTAACCCTGATGATGAAACAAATCCTAATTTGCATGTGGTACCTTCAGAATCAGGAATGAGAAATTACATATCTGAGACTACATATGTAATTTATAAATAGGAAACAAACGTATCATGAAAACAAAACTATTTAATGTTTTCACAACAATGACAAAAACTTATTATCGTATATACACATACCATCATACATGTGTGAGACAAAGATAGTATCTTTAATAATTTTGTCTACGTCTTTCCAACGATTAGTCACCCCCATGCCCCCAAGGTAATTTTCTCAACCCATAACAAATAAATGGAGGATATTATATGAGTGTTCAAGTCATACTATGTTTACGACACGAGTGTCTAAATACCGGAATTTCCCGAGCGGAATTTAGGCACGAGTATCGTCAACATAGTATGACATGAACACGAGTATGATGTTCTATTTATAAGAGATGAAGACGTCTACATACAGAGACGAATTTTAGTGTTTACCTACGAGGACAGCAAGCGAAACATCAGCGGAACCACACTTTGTCGAATGACGTCAACAATCTTCAGCGTTTCTAGTGTGACGGCATTCCAACCTCACGTCACAATAAGATTCGAATGACGTCCGGATGACGGAAACAATACACTGTTGTCTCGTGACGTGATATGACCCAAGGTCACATAAGATTTTTATGAACCCCGATATGTTTTTGCCCTCGTAGGTAATTAAGAAACCTTTGTACTCGCATGTGTGTCACACTGATTCTGACGCACGTTTATAAAGTTAGTATGACACAGATGCTCGTAGAATAATCTCTATATATTCGGGTGTCACACGACAGCAACCAAGACAGACATTGTGACCATCCGATATACATGCAAGTCGGGTTCTACAACAAACGTGGTGCTGGGCGACAGGTAAGGGGTATTGGCGATTTACTGGGAGACGGGCATGGTGTACCGGGGACCTGCTCTGAAACTCGTCCCCACAGGGAGATAAGCATGTTATACCGGGGACCTGTTCTGAAACTCGTCCCCACAGGGAGACAAGCATGGTATACCGGGGACCTGCTCTGAATCTGATCCCCACAGGGAGACAAGGATGGTATACAGGGTTCCTGCTCTGAAATTGATCCCGACAGGGAGACAAGCTTGGTATACCGGGGACCTGTTCTGAAACGATCCTCTCAGGGAGACAAGCATGGTATACCGGGGACCTGCTCTGAATCTGATCCCCACAGGGAGACAAGGATGGTATACCGGGGACCTGCTCTGAAACTGATCCCCACAGGTAGACAAGCATAGGATACCGGGGACCTCCTCTAACACTGATCCCCACAGGGAGACAATCATGGTATACCGGGGACCTGCTCTGAAACTGATCTCCACAGGAGAGACAAGCATGGTATACAGGGTTCCTGCTCTGAAATTGATCCCGACAGGGAGACAAGCTTGGTATACCGGGGACCTGTTCTGAAACGATCCTCTCAGGGAGACAAGCCTGGTATACCGGGGACCTGATCCGAAACTGATCCCCACAGGGAGATAAGCATGTTATACTGGGCACCTGTTGTGAAACTGATTCCCACAGAGAGACAAGCATGGTATACCGGGTACCTGTTCTGAAACTGATCCCCACAGGGATACAAACATGGTATACCGGGGACCTGCTCTGAAACTGATCCCCATAGGGAGACAAGCGTGGTATACCGGGGACCTGCTCTGAAATTGATCCCCACAGGGAGATGAGCATGGTATACCGGGGACCTGCTCTGAAACTGTTCCCCATAGGGAGACAAGCATGTATACCGGGGACCTGCTCTTAAACTGTTCCCCATAGGGAGACAAGCATGGTATACCGGGGACCTGCTCTTAAACTGTTCCCCATAGGGAGACAAGCATGGTATACCGGGGACCTGCTCTTAAACTGTTCCCCATAGGGAGACAAACATTGTTTACCGGGGACCTGCTCTGAAACTGATCCCCTCATGGAGATAAGCATGGTATACCGGGGGACCTGCTCTGAATCTGATCCCCACAGGGAGACAAGCATGGTATACCGGGGACCTGCTCTTAAACTGATCCCCACCAGGAGACAAGCAGGGTATACCGGGGACCTGATCTGAAACTGATCCCCACAGGGAGACAAGCATGGTATACGGGGACCTGATCTGAAACTGATCCCCACAAGGAGACAAGCATGGTATACCGGGGACCTGCTCTGAAACTGATCCCCACAGGGAGACAAGCATGGCATATCGTTGACATATAGCACGGTACGCTATATTATCGCGGTAGTTGATTTATAATGGATTGTAATGGCGAATGCTTACTAAGATGTCATACGCAAAATGTTTCATGTTCTTTTTGCAACTTTAATGACACAACAGTTAGGACTGATTGATGCTGATTTTCTTTACCGAGTTCGGTAAACAAAGTACCTGTCATGGGCGACTCAAGGGCAACTCTATGTTAAAGCGGTATCACTATTTGTGGTGTGATCCGTGTGGATTATGTGGTTTACATCACTTCCTGTTTTGGATTATGCATAATCAGTTTTCATACGACTTAGGTTGGGTCAAGGGACATCGTCCAAACAGATGGGTTCTTTTCTAACCATATTCTAATGGAGGAAGCGGTAATTCCACTTCAAAAACATTTCAGAAACTATCATAAAAAAAGTTAACGTGTGTCTACGAGTAGCCGTGACACGAGTCCTGTATTCGATCATGCGATGAAATAACGTAGTTAGATTTGCATAAGTAAACATTTGAGGGCCGTGGATTTCGAGATTTACCGATACCGCGATAATATAGAGCCCGCGATAATAGAGAGTCATACCATACCTCTGTAACGGAATCCCACAGGGAGACAATCATGGGGTAGTGGGGACCTATTCTGTAACGGAATCACACAGGGAGACAATCATGGGGTAGTGGTGACCTGTTTTGTAACGGAATCCCACAGGGAGACAATCATGGGGTAGTGGTGACCTGTTTTGTAACGGAATCCCACAGGGAGACAATCATGGGGTAGTGGGGACCTATTCTGTAACGGAATCCCACAGGGAGACAAGCATGAGGTACTGGGGACCTATTCTGTAACGGAATCCCAACAGGGAGACAAGCATGGGTTACTGGGGACCTATTCTGCCCTGGAATCCCCACAGGGAGACAAGCATGGGGTACTGGGGACCTATTCTGCCCTGGAATCCCAACAGGGAGACAAGCATGGGTTACTGGGGACCTATTCTGCCCTGGAATCCCCACAGGGAGACAAGCATGGGTTACTGGGGACCTATTCTGCCCTGGAATCCCCACAGGGAGACAAGCATGGGGTAGTGGGGACCTATTCTGCCCTGGAATCCCCATAGGGAGACAAGCATGGGGCACTGGGGACCTATTCTGAAACGGAATCCCAACAGGGAGACAAGCATGGGTTACTGGGGACCTATTCTGCCCTGGAATCCCCACAGGGAGACAAGCATGGGGTACTGGGGACCTATTCTGCCCTGGAATCCCAACAGGGAGACAAGCATGGGGTACTGGGGACCTATTCTGTAACGGAATCCCACAGGGAGACAAGCATGAGGTACTGGGGACCTATTCTGTAACGGAATCCCACAGGGAGACAAGCATGGGGTACTGGGGACCTGTTTCGTAACGGAATCCCACAGGGAAACAAGCATGAGGTACTGGGAACCTGTTTTGTAGCGGAATCCCACGGGGAGACAAGCATGAGGTACTGGGGACCTGTTTTGTAGCGGAATCCCACGGGGAGACAAGCATGAGGTACTGGGGACCTGTTTTGTAACGGAATCCCAGAGGGAGACGAGCATGGGGTACTGGGGACCTGTTTTGTAACGGAATCCCACAGGGAGACAAGCATGGGGTACTGGGGACCTATTCTGTAACGGCATCCCACAGGGAGACAAGCATGAGGTACTGGGAACCTGTTTTGTAGCGGAATCCCACGGGGAGACAAGCATGGGGTACTGGGGACCTATTCTGTAACGGAATCCCACAGGGAGACAAGCATGGGGTACTGGGGACCTGTCCTGTAACGGAATCCCACAGGGAGACAAGCATGGGGTACTGGGACCTGTCCTGTAACGGTATCCCTCGGGGAGACAAGCATGAGGTACTGGGGACCTGTCCTGTAACGGAATCCCTCGGGGAGACAAGCATGGGGTACTGGGACCTGTCCTGTAAAGGAAACCCACAGGGAGACAAGCATGAGGTACTGGGGACCTGTTTTGTAGCGGAATCCCACAGGGAGACAAGCATGGGGTACTGGGACCTATTCTGCCCTGGAATCCACACACAGAGACAAGCATGGGATACTTGGGACCTACTTTGCCACGGTTACACACAGCTGATGCACGTTTTAACCTACAGAATCCAAGGCTCAAATCCAAGATTTGCCTCTATAAACTCTTTGTTTTTCCCCCGATACCTTTGCTCCGGGGTTGACAAGTGTTAAATGCCCGACGAAGCCATTCTGAAACCTTGTGTCCTACTGCCCGTCAACTCTAAACAACCCATTAATCTACCCGACTGATCACAATGCTGTGCGTCAAACGATTTTCTCTTAGTTATTGCGTGCATGGTTCCAGTAAGGAGGTGCTTATGTCGCTGGCATTATATATATGGGATTCCATGACAATGGAACCGAATCAAATCCTCCCCTGGGCAATATTACCCATATCTGTATGCAGCGTGGATACATATTGATACACGTGCTAAACCACGACCTGGCATGAGTTATTGCCTCGCGACCACAGAGCCAGTGTACGATATCGATGTAAATGCACGTGTCTACGTGTTTTATATCGCTGTTCACAGCGGGTGTTTTCAGAAGGAGAATAATCTGATCTAAATTATAAGATTCACGCTGAGAAGTAATGGTTTCGTAAAGAGCTCGGTGGTGCATGTAATATTGCCAATTAGTTGAGTGGCACGTGGTAAACACGGTAAAAACATGGTAAAAACATTGTTATTCATTGATACACTTATTTATTGTGTTATAACGGCGTATTACAAAATGGTCAATCTATGTGATGGGACCCGTGAAGATCCGGGTTGAATAGGTCTTCAGCAACCGATGCTTGCCGTAAAAGGCGACTATGCTTGTTGTAAGAGGCGACTAACGGGATCGGGTGGTCAGGCTCGCTGACTTGGTTGATGCATGTCATCGTATCCCAATTGCATGGATTGATTCTCATGATGTCAATCACTGGATTGTCTTGTCCAGACTCGATTATATACAGACCACCGTCAAATAGCTGGAATATTGCTGAGTGCGGTGTTAAACAAAAAACAAACAGACTGAGGTCCCCGGTTTGTCCGAACCAGACAGGTATGATTACACATATTTATAAAAAAAAATAAAAAAAATAAAAAAATATTATATTGAAGGCGGCCTGGTATCGACAATATTCGGTGTGTGTGTGTGTGTGTGTGTGGGGGGGGGGGGGGGGGGGGGGGGGGGGAATGGCTGGGTATTTGTATCAAGATTACATTTTTTCAGCTATAGCTGCAAAACCAGATATATTTTTTAAATTAGAACTGAGTGAGTCTGAATAATATTTTCAGAAGCACCTTTCAACAATGTAAGTTTTTTGTGCCAATCAATTGTTTATTTAACAGTCCGAAGCATGATTAGAAACAGAAAATGGTTTTCCCGTTAATAGAAAATATCGATTTTTTTCCTCACTGGCATCAAAGGACGAAGTGTTAGAGCTTCTCTGTGCCTGGTTTGAATAACTATGCAAAAGTGGTCTCTCCATGGCTCAGCGTAAACCGTGTATTCACTCACCCGTTTAATTTTTGGGGAGTGATTATCGAAGGGTATAGGGGTGTTTGGGTAGGGCATCTGCTTTCTCCCAACAATAGGTATAGTTAGTTTGCATAGTCGCGTCCCTTGGTCGTGCCAGGAACCGCTGTCAGCAACACCGTGACAGACCTGAAAGACGTAAAATGCGTGTTTCCTTCCCTCCCAAAATACCCAGGATTACAAATGAGTTATTTAGTCCCATCATAATAAACTGCCGGACGAAAGAAAGAATAGGCTTGAAAATTGGATTTGACCAAAACATTACAAACGTTATCAAAACGTTACAGGGCTAAAAACAGTCGCCGAAACACTGCAAACTTATGATCCAAAACACAACTATGATACCCGTATCAAAAACATCGCCTCAAATAAAAAATTCTTGTTTGTTTCATATTATTTTATATATTTCATTTTCATTGTGTGTATACTTTCTTTTGAGCGGCAGTTTATTTGGGATTTTGCAGTTACCGACTTTGTATTTGTTTGTTTGTTGTTTAACGCCGCACCCAGCAATATTCCAGCTATTTGACGGCGGTCTGTATATAATCGAGTCTGGACCAGACAATCCAGTGATTTACATCCACACAATTGGGATCGATGACATGCATCAACCAAGTCAACGAGCCTGACCACCCGATCCCGTTAGTCGCCTTTTACGACAAGTATAGTCGCCTTTTACGGCAAGCATGGGTTGCTGAAGACCTATTCTACCCCGGATCTTCACGGGTCTACCGACTTTGTAATGTCAACTTTGTAATGTCAAAGGTTACCGTTATATGAACTGTTTTCCGTTATTTTTCAGCACGAGTTCCATGACGAAGGGGCCGTCATCACATTCACGCTCAACGACCACGTTGCACAGGTGAAGACGTCAAGCCACGCCAAGGAAGGCATCGTATTTACGATGAAAATTGATGGACAATACGTCCCTAGCACAGACGATTACTGAGCTCGGCATCCCGGGGCCTTTCCGCATCGACACACATCCGTCTCCTGTTTTTGTTATTTTAAATTTTAAGTGTTACCTATCTTTCTTATAAAGTTATTCAGCGGCACAATGTCTCCCGACAACGACAAAGGCACTGACGCGATGGTTTCCATGGCACCGTGACCATATTTAGAGCACTGGTGACGAATGTGTCAACCTAGGATCCGATTTACGTTTTATGACGACAAGACCAAACAAATTTCTCTCTAATTCAGAAGGGATTCTAAAATCCTTAAGATACGCAATCTAAAGCCCTAACAACTGATGCGATAATATTTTTTGCGTTTAAAAATTTGGATGGCCTGATCTTAAAACGGTAAGATAGTCCACTTTGTTGATTCGCCATGATTAGGGGCAGATCTGGGCATCTTGTAACCCGAATGTGGTATATAACGCCACATCGTTAAAATGTCATGATCGCAGTTTAGAGCCTCGTTTATCCAGACCCCGATTCTTTGGAAACAGCTTAGTTCATTCGATAGATGGATAACTACATCGTTCTCAAACATGACGTTCCTCCAGCCCGGAGACACGTTTATCCAGACCACCATGATCGAATGATACGGATGAACGAGGCTCTACTGCACCCAAGAGTGTACCGGGGACATACGTTCAGTAAACAAAATTAATTGAAAAGTTTTGAATTAAAAGATGAAGTGAGGTGCTCACAGGGTCACTTGTGATATTTTGCAAAATGAAACGAAAGGGGAGAAGCTGGCGTCGTTTATTTTGAATATTTTCTATGTTTTCATGTGATGTTGTCTTATGGGAGAATGTAACACTTATCAATACTGCTGATATAGCTTAGACATATTTATGGATGAAATTTTTCTATGTGAGCCCCGAACAAATAAATTATTAACCCACTATGGGCAAGAAATGATATTTGGCGCATTTTAAAGAATAAAACATGACATGATTTAATATTTGAACAGCCTGGCGAATGTCACGTGTTGGAATTGAAGGATCCGACGAGCATATTGTCCCCAGCGTTGAGTGGTGTTATGGTTTATATCAAATTTTTATATGTTTTAATTGGTCCAACACCTTTTTTTTCTAGCCACGCACCTGTTAACTTTGACATAAACAATACAACGAAAGAACTATGGGTAATCCTGTTGCATTAATACCTTCATTCAGCATACATAGGTACATTGCTGCACGTGCCTTTTTGTACTGCTTGAAAACAAGTATCACATGACCTTTTGATAGTCTTTTTTATTTATTTGCATGCATTAGATTCAGTAAATATGTATGTTGAAATTGAAAGAAATTGGATTGCATAATCTACAACACTATAATGGCACACAGTGTCAAGCATTCGTAACCACTCGTGTCTTTCCGGAAAAGGTTACGGAAAGGGGCGAGTGGTGACGAATGGGTATCAAGATGTCACATATGTTTGGAAACTTTGCCAACTGTACGTATAGACCATCAGATGTGCAGTTGTACATATACAAGCCCAGGCGATGTATTTTTACAGTGTAGAACAGTTTTTTGTCAGAAAGTGTAACTGTTGTTCATTTCTATGTTAACGCTTTGGCGACACATTTAGCCTTTTACATAGTAAACACTTTTATTTAACGGCCCACTCGGCAGCAATTACTGAGAAACGTCCCGCTACGCTCATCTTCGGCTTTCCAGTGCTATCTCTTCGGCTATCTCCGTGACAGATATCCTTGACCCATCGCTAATACCATGGCTTCGTTTTCAGCCCGATTCAAATGACACGATGCTAAGAATAGCCGTCCAATGAAAGGGGTATAGTGCTATCACGTGTCTGAGAAAATCTGTGGAAGGTTGCTGATAGTGGAGAGAGAAATGTGACGTCATTTTTCAAAAGAAGCTATGGTAGCTAATTTGTTAAGGGTATGTATCGTAATAGAGTTGAAATATAGTACCCTTGATAATCGAAGATGAGTTCACATTTCCTTTGTATTGATTTTGTGAGTTTTGTGGTGCAGATGTAGTAACGTGGTTCATGGAGATTAGTGATATAAACAGATTTTTGGTCTATTTTGATGTAAAATATATGATCGGCCAAACACTTTTTTAAAGATTGGAACGGTAACGATTTTGAAATTGAAACATAGTCTACGAAACAATCCCAACATCTGTGTACCAGTGTCGTCGTGATACACTCGAAACCATGCTTGTAATTATTGATATCGATTGTTTTAACTTGTTGATTGTTTTGTGTTTTCAATGTTTTCTATCTATAACACTTGTCATACACGAGGTGTTTTAACATGAGACTGATTAAACAGACACCTCTAGTTATAATTCACATTTAAATTACGCCACCCATTCATACATAACACATGTATTGATACACAGATCAATACAACTCACAAAAATCGATGTTCATGATGTCAATCACTGGATTGTCTGGTCCAGACTCGATTACTTACAGACCGCCGTCATATAGCTGGAATATTGATGAGTGCGGCGTTAAATAACAAACAGACAAACACAAAAATCGGATTATTTTTTTTAAAACGTTCTTGTCTCACACACGTACACAAACATTTTTACACACACACAAACACACATTTCTCCTTTGTTATAGGGCTGTCCTGCCTACATATACCACCGACTCCCATACTATTGACTTGACAATTGAAGGCTAATTTCCCTTCTAACAAGGACGTTATTAGTTGTAGCAGCATCACTCGAGGTACATGTGGTTTTATGCGTTTTATGCGAGTGGAATAAAACCTAACAAGGGACGCATAAAACCTCATGTACCTCGAATGATCCTGCTACAACGAATTTATCTTATCGACATGTTTTAACATGACATTATAAAAGAATTCAAACACATTCAAAAATGATAGAAAACTACGGTGGCCCATAAGGGACATGGAGTCTGTTTTTTAATATTTTGATATTTCACTTACTGTTATCGTAACCTTTTGCAAATTAACACGATTTGTCATATAAATATGTGATAAATCATTTATAAAGAAGATCTTGAATCGCTGAAAAGTGAAGCGAAAATGTTCGTTTTTTGTTTTTGACATTTTCATTTTAGTTTTTGACATTTTCGCTTCACTTTTCCTGCGATTCAATAGCTACTTGAAAGTACATTTTCCATGTTTTCGGTTGTTTTTATACATGATTTATCACATATTTGTATAACAAATTGTGTTAATTTGCAAAAGGTTACGATAAAAGTAGTGAAATATCAAAATATTGAAAAACAGACCCCTTGCCCTTATGGGCCACTGTAGAAAACAACTTGAGCTGAGGCTAGCTTTTTACTTTGAAACAGGATATGAGGGATTTATTCAGCCTCTCAGAAATCCACGTGCAGCCTGACTTGCTCGTGGCGGGGTGTAAGAGATTTAATCAGCCTATGACTTTATTCCCCTCCAAGGCGGGATACACAGTATTTTATCAAGATCAGATCTGGTGGTATGATAAGAGATATGTTGAATCTAAGATAGTGTATATATGAAATATGTACGACATACAGAATGTGCCTATTCTTTGTTAACATACTGATGTGGTGTACGGTCAGTGTGTATATGTCCCGACATCTCAACCAAGCTTGACTGATGTCGTCGTAACGCCACTGTGCCTGTTTTGGATTGTTTGAACGATTTTAGAATTTAGCATCCAGTTAAATGTATTGTTGAGAAATATTTACAGTTGTTTTTATTATAATCTACTGGTGATAAACGAGTTACTCTGAAACCGTCCATGCTTGTTACTGCTGTGTGAAGCTGTGTGACGTGCAGTCACGGGTACCCGTGACAGGTTGTCACGGTATCCGTGACAGGTACCCACACACTACTATAGATCTGTGTTGTACAAACAGAATATTCTCATTACTTACACTGGCGTTCTCTTTGTATTGCTTCATGTAAAAAAGTTCTTCACAATAAAGTTTGTAAAACTGTTTCCCTTCGACGTTTATTCATGTCAGTGTTCATTCACATGTTTGTTAATTTGTTGTTTGTTTAACGCCGCACTTAGCAATATTCCAGCTATAAGACGGCGGTTTGTATATGATCGAGTCTGGACGAGACACTCCAGTGATTGACATCATGAGCATGGATCTACGCAATTGGGATACGATGACAGCGACCAACCAAGTTACTCCATCTGACCACCCGATCACTTTAGTCGCCTCTTACGACAAACATGGGTTGGCGGAATCGTATATTCTTACCCGGAATGTGTGTCCTTCAATCACCACAGGGATATATACATTCATGGGGTAACGGGCACCTGTTGTGTCCCTCAATCACCACAGGGATATATGCTTTCATGGGGTAACGGGCACCTGTTGTGTTCCTAAATTACCACAGGGACACATTCATGGGGTAACGGAAACCTGTTGTGTTCCTCAATCATCACAGGGACACATTCATGGGGTAACGGAAACCTGTTGTGTTCCTCAATCATCACAGGGACACATTCATGGGGTAACGGAAACCTGTTGTGTTCCTCAATCACCACAGGGATACACACATTCATGGGGTAACGGGCACCTGTTGTGTTCCTCATCATCACAGGGATACACACATTCATTGGGTAACGGGAACCTGTTGTATCCCTCAATCACCACAGGGACACATTCATGGGGTAACGGGCACCTGTTGTGTTCCTCAATCATCACAGGGATACACACATTCATGGGTTAACGGGCACCTGTTGTGTTCCTCAATCACCACAGGAACACATTCATGGGTTAACGGGCACCTGTTGTGTTCCTCATCATCACAGGGATACACACATTCATTGGGTAACGGGAACCTGTTGTATCCCTCAATCACCACAGGGACACATTCATGGGTTAACGGGCACCTGTTGTGTTCCTCAATCACAGCAGGGACACATTCATGGGATAACGGGCACCTGTTGTGTTCCTCAATCACAGCAGGGACACATTCATGGGGTAACGGGAACCTGTTGTGTTCCTCAATCACAGCAGGGACACATTCATGGGGTAACGGGAACCTGTTGTGTTCCTCAATCACAGCAGGGACACATTCATGGGGTAACGGGAACCTGTTGTGTTCCTCAATCACAGCAGGGACACATTCATGGGGTAACGGGAACCTGTTGTGTTCCTCAATCACAGCAGGGACACATTCATGGGGTAACGGGAACCTGTTGTGTTCCTCAATCACAGCAGGGACACATTCATGGGGTAACGGGAACCTGTTGTGTTCCTCAATCACAGCAGGGACACATTCATGGGGTAACGGGCACCTGTTGTGTTCCTCAATCACAATGGAGAGACAACTCGCATGACTACACCCCCACCCCCACCCCCCACCTAAGCATAGTCGCCTTTTACTGCAAGCATGGGTAGCTGAAGGCCTATTCTAACCCGGATCTTCACTGGTCGTTTTATGTAGGGACATTAAGAAATCATTTTCGAGTGATCCACCCTAGCGGCTGTTTCGAAACGTGGAATGTTAGTGAGTGTAACGTGAGTGTTATAAGCGCTGTGAGGGGCTTCCATATTTATGAGACACACCAGTCTCCGCAATGGTAGTTCAAGATAGTTTGGTGAATGAGTTGCGCATTATATAATTATTTATAGGTTTTATTGTACTATTGAATTTGAAAACAGATGATTAATTAAAATTGAATAAAATGGAGAATTTAATGGTGTTTGCATATTTAAGCCCAGGGATATATTTTGATTGAGATATTCGGTTGTAAACGTTGATAAAACAAGTTACTAGGCCCTGTACTTATGAATACGAAGGGTTAAATTGCGTTTAGCAGTCTATTCTTTTGCAGAAAACGAATCGTATTTGTACACAAACATAAATGCCAGTGAAAGAGTGAATAGGTTTTGTACCACGTGTAAAAAGCTGTTTTGTGGATTCAAACATTTAATCAGCTTACATCTATTTAACCCGTCGGGAATCAGTGAGTGAATATGGTTTTAAGCCATACAGTGATCAAACTTCCAACATTGTGACGACTGATTTTACCAAATATAGGCTTGAGCCATCATACCAATTTGGGGACTCGAACCTGGATGTTCGGCGTGACGAGCGAGCACTTTAACCTCTTGGCCACCCCGCCTTCCCTCGCGGGGTAGTATGACACACTCAGATAGGCTCCATAGGAAAGGTGGTCGTACGATTGGTCACTTAAAGCCGGATATGTTTCCTTCACAAATGGCCCTCGCCATGCAATATTATTTGTTGTTTCTTGAGTTCTGTGACCCCGACCACGAGACACGAGATTGCCAATCCATCACCATCACCATCACGATCACCATCAGCTGCGACACAGGATAGATCTACGTACTGTGTGTAGCTGCAGCTATGAATCCCCCATGCATCTACTTTCTTAGTCCGTTGTTGAATACGCAACCGTCCCGTGAAGATCCGGGGTAGAATAGGTCTTCAGCAACCCATGCTTGCCGTAAAAGGCGACTATGCTTGTCGTAAGAGTCGACTAACGGGATCGGGTGGTCAGGCTCGCTGACTTGGTTGATGCATGTCATCGATCCCAAATCCGTAGATCGATGTTTATGATATTAATCACTTGATTGTCTGGGCCAGACTCGATTACTAGTATTGACAGACCGCCGTCATATGGCTGGAATATTGCTGAGTGCGGCGTTAAACAACAACAAAAAACCGCGTATGCGACCAATACCAATCTCATTAAATATTATCATCATGAGATATCGGACCAATGTAGGATAGAAAATAGTGAAAACAGAGCGTACTGAAAACATTGAAACGATCAGGCAGCTACAATTAATCAGTAGGCTATTAGATGTGTGTAGTTCACTGTATTTTGGCACGAAAATTCAGGTCTGTAGGTCGAAAAACTATTTCTTTTCTTTAAATTCAAATTTAAAAAAATGATTTGTATTTCCTCAAAACGGTTGTTAGGTATAGTTATTTAGATAAATTTTAAATAGGTTTTAGTTATAGTATTTTAAACAATATTATTGGTAGCGACAGTAAAAATATTTTTTTAAACATTTTACTTATTTCTGTTTATCGGAATTTAAAAAAGCCACTGCTTATCATTGTCATTCTTTTCACATGACAAGTTATTCGAGTCGGCGGATTGGTAAGCCAAAGCTTTAAAAAAGTCATACCTATTTATATGAATGAAAAAATATATAGATCTAGCAAAGATAATGATATTCGACGGGACACCAAAAAAAAAATGACGTTGTTCGTGTGAGAAACCTGCCTTGCTTATTTGGGTCGCAACAAGAAATCAAAAGTGCCCTGCCCACTGATGTACATCCGGGTTTACGACAACGTGTTCCTTTCTGGCAAACAAGGAAACAGTATGGCGACAGGACCTCGTGACCGTCTCATGCAGCTGGAGAAAATAGAACACGACATTGGTCTCTGTATACAAAATGCCGGTTTGTAGAACGGGGGTACTTCGTCCGTTTGTTCCCTATGAGTTAATAGTGTTTAAAGTAACTTTTGCATGTACATGCGTCACATTTGTAAGTTACCAAGCAACCAAACTATGCTTCCATAAAAAGTCCACGGAGAAAGTTCGTAATGTTGATGAATATTATTTGGAAGCAGTGTTCAGAGATACAGCAACAGGACCATTCGAGCTCAAACCTCAGTACAAGACCGCATGGCGTTCTGTCAGTCCATTGTCACTGTGAAAAGGAAAAAAATTATTCAAAATTTCAAAAATGAGCGAATGTTGTTTTATGCCACAGTAACCGGGGCTCAAATGTGGCTCAGACATAAAATTATTTTCTGTTTTGTTATCTACAGTGTCAATAAATCAATTAATCTTTGGTAAGACTTCCGCCCGTCTTCCGCCTACGAAATATATTTATTCCAGCAATACCACAGCTGCGGACACCAGAAATGGGCTTCACACGTTGTACCCATGTGGGGAATCGAACCCGGGTCTTTGGCGTGACGAGCGAACGCATTAACCACTAGGCTACCTGATCACACCTATACATGGAAGAAACACGCTAACTGTAAATATATATAACTTTTGGAGGCAGGATGTGGGTGGTAGTGTCTATTAAAGAGTTGCTTTCCTACACATCAATGCATGAGAACAAACAGACAATTGTACCAAGGTTACTCTGCTGGAGGAATTTAACTGAGAATTAAATGACATCAGAATGGACAAACAGGCCTCAAAGTTGCGACTAAAACTGTCGCCAGTGCGACCTAAATTTCGATTTGTCTTCTGTCTAAATTTTAGGCGTGGCCAAACGACTACCTTGAAAATATCTTGTGGCAACTAAATTCTTTTGCTACCCATATGTAGACATAAAAATAAATAAAAGCTGATCTTGGTAAACATGTAGACCTGCTAATAATTGTTCTCGCAAATAATTCCTCCTAAAGTCGACAATGAACCAAAATACATAAATATTAATGTAATTAGTATTTTATTTTAGTTATCAATGCTCATTGGATAAGCAAGGATATACCTATATAATCTGGTGACATAAATTGCATCATTGTTCAAGTCACAAGTAACAAAAATCAAGTACAGTTTCCACTAATATACAATTCCAAGACTAGTGCTGTGACTTGTACCTGTAATAGTTATTTGATAAAAGATAATTTCAAATGCTTTTGGCGACCTACAATATTATCTTGACTTCTCGATTTTACCACTGGCTACCTGAAAAAAATACTTGTTGCCATATATGGCTAATTGGTAAAATTTTAAACTTTTTAGGCCTGACAAAGTTATATTCTGATATTTATTTACCCATGCTTGTTGGTTTTACCAAAGTGGTAAACATCTCAGACATTCATCACTTCAGGCTTGCCTCCCACATTTAGTTGACACGCCATGATATGACTGGAATACTGTTCAAAGCGGCATGAAACCAAACTCAGTCTCATACTCACTCCAGTTTCAAGCAAAAGTGTGTACAAAGAGCCGGCTCTTATAAGAATATTATTTTGGTGGGAAAAAACAGAGTTGAAAGATAAATTTCATGGTTTATGCTGACGGTCTGAACTGTTTATATACGACAGATATATTTTTCCAGAATTTAATTGACCGTAATTAAGGGTGTATATAACACACGAGTGCGTATTATACACGAATATTTGAGTTTTGTGTACATTGATCAATTGGAAGGGGTGCTAATTGGGATTGTTCACTTGCCAATATATTAGCAAATATCGCCGTGGGCGCTTATTAGAGCGGGGCGCTTATTACATCGAATACGGTATTTGAAATTTCTTACTTATAAAAGAGAGAAGTATTTTTATACTATTAAGGAGTGAACTCAATTTTCTAAATTAAAGTGTCCCCCATGTTATGACAGTTCACGATCATTAATAGAGGCAGTTCTCCTGCTGCCGGTGACTAACCTGTTTCAACACATTTCATCCCACTACTCTTCAACATGGCATCACTTCGCTTGATGCAGTAGTCCACATCATGCACAAATTGCCAGAGCCGTGAAGATCCGGGGTAGAATAGGTCTTCAGCAACCCATGCTTGCTGTAAAAGCCGACTATGCTTGTCGTAAGAGGCGACTAATGGGATCGGGTGGTCAGGCTCGCTGACTTGGTTGATGCATGTCATCGATCCCAATTGCGTGGAACGATGCTCATGATATTAATCACTGGATTGTCTGGTCCACACTCGATTATTTACAGACTGCCGTCATATAACTCGAATATTGCTGAGTGGGCATTAAACAACAAACAAGCAAACGTTCTCGTTTATGGAAAAGACTTAGGGGAGCTAACTGTGGGCTGAGGCCAGTGTTATTGCAGCAGTTTCAAAAGAGAAAGAAAAAAGTTCCTATTATTTGTCCGTAACATTTTGATTTGACCGGAATTAGTCAAGTGAAATGCCTGGCGATGTTCATGACCACTTTTTCATCATTGACCCTCGCAGTCTGATGTACATGAACATTTGCCAATGCATTGCACATTGCTATTACAGCAGTACTGACATAGGGTTCCACAACCAACAGGGATTTCTATAGGAATCCACATTAAGTGCCCTTGGCAGGCAAATTGTTAAAAACAGATTAAGTTGTTTATATTCTAGAATATGGAAGTATTTTAACATTTCATTCGATATGGTAATGACTCCTCCTTTTTATTGGTCCTGTTATCTGCAATGATTAATGAGTGAGTGAGAATGGTTTTACGTCGATTTTAGCAATATTCCAGCAATATCACGGCAGGGGACACCAGAAAAGGGCTTCACACATTGTATCCATGTCAGGAATTGAACACAGGTCTTAGGCGTGACGAGCGAACGCTTTAACCACTTGGCTACCAGACCACCCCGCAATGATTACTGAAATACAAGTATATTTGTTATAACTATATTTACATGAATCAGGAATAAATAAGCTCCAATTTGGAAATTTTTACTTAAATTTCATATAGACTTAGGGCCAAATATAGGCCTGTTAGTAGGACTAAATAAGTCTGGGACCACAGATATTTTTTAGTTTTAACTCAAAGTAGCCAACATTTAGCCATTTCTGGGCCCACTTGCACAAAGCGATCTTAGTACTTTAACAGAGACTTACAATAGTCGTTTGCACTAAGATCACTTTGTGCAAGTGGGCCCAGAGTCTTTGATAATATTGAAACTATATTTCAGTCCCATCAGTGAGTGAGTGAGTATGGTTTTACGCTGCTTTAAGCAATATTCCAGCAATATCACGGCGGGGGACACCAGAAATGGGCTTCACACATTGTACCCATGTCGGGAATCGAACCAGGGTCTTCGGCATGACGAGCGAACGCTTTAACCACTAGGCTACCTGTACCGTCCCATCAAGTGTTTTTCTGTATGAAGTAGACAAATTGTAATCAATTTGTAGAGTAGATGAGTGATTAAAGATTAACAGTGATGAGTAGGGTGCACGTGTACTGATATACTTTGTTGTGATATAATGCATGAACGGGGGCACGGGTGGCCCAGTCATCTAAGGCGCCGCGATTCGCTGTGCAGAGTTGCGTCCCTTGGGCACACCAGAAACCTATGATTGTGGGTTCGATTCCTGTTTCCCCTTGATTATGTTTCTAGGTTTGTCAGCACCATACCCGAAGTATGTATGTATGTATACCGAAGTGGTTAACGTCCGAGACCTGCATCACTTCTGGCTTTCCTCCAACATTAAGCTGACACGTCACAATATAACTTGATTATATCATCACTGGATTATCTGGTCCAGATTCAATTAGGTACAGACCACGTCATATAGCTGGAATATTGCTGAGTGTGGCGTGAAACAAACAAACAAACACTAGACCACCAGACCAACATTTATTTAATTTTACTGGTGCTTAAGTAAATATGATAGACTTGGACTAGTGGACAAATGTTTCGTGTCGAACACTGACACCACCTTATACTGTTTTAATACTCAGGCAAATGTCAGATTTGATTAGATAATAGCGAGGGTTCGCTCAGACCTTGTTTTTTTTATTGTGGCTCTATTTCATTGGTTGTTGATTTCAAATCTGTCATCAGAGATGGCGATAACCCACTGCGGTTCATGTCAGGCTGCGTCCGTTCCTTTATATATTGTCCAGGTTTAGCTCTACAAGAACTCGCCAAGGACAAACCGGTTCCAAACAGTGTAACAAACCACACCACCAACTTCCTGAAGACCCTGCAGGGGATAGACAATGGGATGGCGCTTCAGATCAACTATCTCACACAGTACTCCAACGGTAAGATCACAGAGTTCTGCGTAACCATGGGTTACATGTTCCTGGAAATCAGGAAGAATTAGTTTTTTTCCCAAAGTTATTGTGAACTGTAATGATTGTCTTGAGACAACATCCTTTGTCGACACAGAGACTTTATGTTAATGTATGCGGTATGGGCTTGTTAATATGTGGAGTTTGCTCCCATACAATTTGTTTTGTGTTGTTATTGTACGTCCTCCATAGAGGCCATTTCTTCATTCTCCATAGAGGCCATTTTTCTTCTATCTCCATAGAGGCCATTTTCGTCTTTCTCCATAGAGGCCATTTTCTTCTTTCTCCCATAGAGGCCATTTTCTTCTTTCTCCCATAGAGGCCATTTTCTTCTTTCTCCCATAGAGGCCATTTATTCTTCTCCATAGAGGCCTTTTCTTCTCCATAGAGGCCATTTTCTTCTTTCTCCATAGAGGCCATTTTCTTCTCTCTCCCATGGAGGCCATTTATTCTTTCTCCCATAGAGGCCATTTATTCTTCTCCATAGAGGCCTTTTCTTCTCCATAGATGCCATTTTCTTCTTTCTCCATAGAGGCCATTTATCCTCTCTCTCCCTTAGAGGCCATTTATTCTTTCTCCCATAGAGGCCATTTATTCTTCTCCATAGAGGCCATTTATTCTTCTCCATAGAGGCCTTTTCTTCTCTCTCCAATAGTGGCCATTTATTCGTCTCCATAGAGGCCATTTATTCTTTCTCCCATAGAGGCCATTTATTCTTCTCCATAGGGGCCTTTTCTTCTTTCTCAATAGAGGCCATTTATTCTTCTCCATAGAGGCCTTTTCTTCTCTCTCCCATAGAGGCCATTTCTTCTTCCCCAGAGAGACCTTTTCTTCTCTCTCCCATAGAGGCCATTTCTTCTTTCTCCCATAGAGGCCATTTTCTACTTTCTCCCATAGAGGCCATTTCTTCTTTCTCCATAGTGGCCTTTTCTTCTCTCTCCCATAGAGGACATTTTCTTCTTTCTCCCATAGAGACCATTTTCTTCTTTCTCCCATAGAGGCCATTTTCTTCTTTCTCCCATAGAGGCCATTTTCTTCTCTCTCCCATAGAGGAAATTTCTTCTTTCTCCCAAAGAGGCCATTTATTCTTCTCCATAGTGGCCTTTTCTTCTCTCTCCCATAGAGGCCATTTTCTTCTTTCTCCCATAGAGGCCATTTCTTCTCTCTCCCATAGAGGCCATTTTCTTCTTTCTCCCATAGAGGCCATTCTCTTCTCTCTCCCATAGAGGCCATTTATTCTTCTCCATAGTGGCCTTTTCTTCTCTCTCCCATAGAGGCCATTTTCTTCTTTCTCCCATAGAGGCCATTTCTTCTTTCTCCCATAGAGGCCATTTTCTTCTTTCTCCCATAGAGGCCATTTTCTTCTTTCTCCCATAGAGGCCATTTTCTTCTTTCTCCCATGGAGGCCATTTATTCTTTCTCCAATGGAGGCTATTTTCTTCTCTATCCCATAGAAGCCATTTATTCTTTCTCCCATAGAGGCCATTTTCTTCTCTCTCCCATAGAGGCCATTTCTTCTTTCTCACATAGAGGCCATTTTCTTCTTTCTCCCATGGAGGCCATTTATTCTTTCTCCCATGGAGGCCTTTTTCTTCTCTCTCCCATAGAGGCCATTTTCTTCTCTCTCCCATAGAGGCCATTTTCTTCTTTCTCCCATAGAGGCCATTTTCTTCTTTCTCCTATAGAGGCCTTTTCTTCTCCATAGAGGCCATTTCATCTTTCTCCATAGAAGCCTTTTCTTCTCAATAGAGGCTGTGTTCTTGTTTCTCCATAGAGGCCATTTTATTCTTTCTTCTTCTGATCACAGAGGCCATTTCCCCTTTCTACAAGGAGGCCATTTTTTTCTTTCTGCGTGGAGAACATTTTCTCCTCTTGTCATAGAAGCCATTTCTCCTTATATAATGGAGACCATTTCTTCTTTCTCCACACAGGCCACTTTCTCCTTTCTCGAGACAGGCTGTTCTTATTTCTCAACAGAAGTCATTTTCCCTTAAGATTGGCTCTACAGACAGCAAGCAGAATATTTTGTGTGGGACATATAGCTGTACCCATAATATTTAATTTCTCCTCTGATTTCCAGCCAACGCCCATGAGGGTTCTGTGTATGGCCCCCAGAAAGATCTCCACATGGCAATCCACAGAATGCAGCATGTGCGCAAGCTCCTTGAGAAGCTGGATAACATACGCATAGACCAGACTAAAAGACATCAAGGTCAAGTACAAGGTCAAACTCTAACTCAAGGTCAAATTCAAGGTCAGCTTCACACTCAAGGTCAGCTTCACACTCAAGGTCAGCTTCACACTCAAGATCAGCTTCAAACTCAAGGTCAGCTTCACACTCAAGGTCAGCTTCAAACTCAAGGTCAGCTTCACACTCAAGGTCAGCTTCACACTCAAGATCAGCTTCAAACTCAAGGTCAGCTTCACACTCAAGGTCAGCTTCAAACTCAAGGTCAGCTTCACACTCAAGGTCAGCTTCAAACTCAAGGTCAGCTTCAAACTCAAGGTCAGCTTCACACTCAAGGTCAGGTTCCAGTGACTAAAACGTATTCTTTGCCAGAACAGCGTAAATGATGACAACCTCTACGCCCCACGGAAGGATGTGTGAACTTCACAGATTTTCAGGAACATGATTCAGAAACTTTTCATAATTTATTATGAGGGAAGAGGAGGAGGGATGAGGAGGAGGAGGATGTGTCCCAGTAGTCTAGGGGTGTTCCAGTGGTCAAGGGGTGTCCCAGTGGTCTAGGGGTGTCCCAATGGTCTAGAGATGTCCCAGTGTTCAAGGGGTGTCCCAGTGGTCAAAGGATGTCCCAGTGTTCAAGGGGTGTCCCAGTGGTCAAGGGGTGTCCCAGTGTTCTAGGGATGTCCCAGTGGTCAAGGGATGTCCCAGTGGTCAAGGGATGTCCCAGTGTTCAAGGGGTGTCCCAGTGGCCTAGGGGTGTCCCAGTGTTCAAGGGGTGTCCCAGTGGCCTAGGGTTGTCCTAGGAGTGTCCCAGCGGTCTAGGGGTGTCCCTGTGGTCTCGGATTGTCCCAAGTAAATAGGGGTGTCCCAGGGGTCTAGGGATGCCCCAGTGGTCTAGGGATGTCCGAGGGGTCTAGAGATGTCCCAGTGGTCTAGGGGTGTCCCAGTGGTCTAGGGGTGTCCCAGTTGTCTAGGGGTGTCCCAGTGGTCTAGAGATGTCCCAGTGGTCTAGGGGTGTCAGTGGTCTAGGGTGTCCCAGTGGTCTAGGGATGTCCTAGGGGTCTAGAGATGTCCGAGTGGTCTAGGGATGTCCCAGTGGTCTAGGGATGTCCCAGTGGTCTAGGGGTGTCCCAGGGGTCTAGGGGTGTCCCAGTGGTCTAGGGGTGTCCCAGTGGTCTAGGGGTGCCCCAGTGGTCAAGGTGTGTCCCAGTGGTCTAGGGGGGTCCCATTGGTCAAGGGGTGTCCCAGTGTTCTAGGGATGTCCCAGTGGTCTAGGGATGTCCCAGTGGTCAATGGATGTCCCAGTGTTCAAGGGGTGTCCCAGTGGTCTAGGGGTGTCCCAGTGGTCTAGGAATGTCCCAGTGGTCTAGGGTAATGTAACCTCAACCATGAGCTTCTCTGCTTGTGAGATACACCAAAGTGGAAAATGTCAACTATTTGTCCCGGCTCGGGATCAGCCAAGCTGCCTGTCGCATGTGTCTGGAGGCCATCGTCAGGACCATCTTATGTACAAGGATACCTGTATCCTCTAGTCGTGTGACATTTACAAAACGAAAAAATTTGTGCTAGTCTTGGAGAAATTTCAGAAACATGACAGTGTGTTAATCTTTCATGAAGATGATAAGAACACTGTGTGATAAGACTAGTGGTATAAATTGTTTAATAGAGGAAGACTAAAACCTTTCAGGAACATCCATAAAATATTGAATGTAATTGGTGAGGTGAAATGGAGTTAAATGGTGCTTCTATGTTTCTATAGCAACATGCATACATGTGTGCGTGCTTCAACTTTGTCATGTTCTTGTCTGGACTTCTGGTTTCATAGACCTAGCCAACTGAGATACCATGTCGCAATTTACCATGGATACCCAACACCTACACAGTATACGGATGCCAATCCTACTATTTCATTAATGACAAGCAGCAGGCAGGGTAACAACAAGTACCATATTTGAACGTGTTTTGGTATGACGAAGCCAGGGTATCATACCTCTGACACTTCGCCTCCTGCCAGACTCTCTCTGGGTAGCCTTGTGGTTAAAGCGTTCGCTTGTCACGCCGAAGAACCGGGTTCGATTCCCGACATGGGTACAATGTGTGAAGCCCATTTCTGGTATCCCCTGCCATGATATTGCTGGAATATTGCTAAAAGCGGCGTAAAACCATACTCACTCACTCACTCTCTCCACCAGACACCACTTCCTGGAGGTGGTCAAGGGGGAATTGATGTGGTTTCATTCATGTTACTGTTTTGAATATTAAGTAGGATGTTTCCATGCTAGTCATAACTAAGGCCAGACTGTTTTTTGGTGGGGATACATATTTTCTATCCCAAATTCAGGTCAGTAGGTCGAAAAAATAAAAACAAACATTTCAATGTCATTTCATTTCCTCAAAATGTTAAGTAGGTAGGTAAAAAGTAATTTTAAGATAAATTTTAAACAGATTCTTCTTGTGGCTGATGACTTTATCAAATGTTCTAATAAAAGAGTTTCTCACTGTGTACATGTAAATGGAAATAACAAATAATAAGAGTGGATGAATCGGAAATGATTTTATTTTTTAGGAATTATTTAATGAATTTACCAACTTCTCTTTGATTATTTGTGTGGTTAACGCCAACAAGGATTAGTAACCATTTAGTAGAGTTAGTTTGCCAGAGAAATGTCAGTTATCACATCTAATGCTGACAGGGAGGAGGTTTACAAAGAACTCTCTAAATTCACAGATGGTCATCGAATCTGGGCAATCTTCTCAGAGGGAGGCTTATAGTGCTTTGAGCATTCAGGTGAACAGTGTCACTGAACTGTTGCGGATGGTATTCTCAGAGATATTGGAAATATGCCTCAGGCATTTTTAACACTTACATGTGTACCTTTCCTCTTCTTTCACTTCCTCAAGACCAGTGAAGATCCAGGGTAGAATAGGTCTTTAGCAACCTATGCTTGCCGTAACAGGTGACTATGCTTGTCGTTAGAGGCGACTAAGGGGATCGGGTGGTCAGACTCGCTGACTTGGTTGATGCATGTCTTCGTATTCCGATTGCGTGATCAATGCTAATGATGTCAGTCACTGGATTGTCTGGTTCAGACTCAAGATTTTACAGACCGCCGTCATATAGATATTGCTGAGTGCTGCGTTAAAAACCAAAACAAACACTCCCGCCATGTATCCAATGCAGGTTGATCTGTAACAAAGTATCTGGGTACATGTGAGCATTAATTCTAAAGTTTGCTACATGTGCTCAAACTTTGGCCTCGTGATAAGGAAGTCAGTTATTGAGGAAAGGAAACACTTACTCACAGATAGTTTAAATCAGGGGTCCGAAAAATTTAAAATCCCAATCGGACATTTGCATTTAGGCCACGCCCCCTAGCGTATTTTAGAAAGACCTTTCAAAAGTTACACGTGTTCATGATATATAAACAATAAAAACAATAAAAACACCGATATACTTTTCCTGCATCATCTATCAACTGGTGGGTTTCAATATCTTGGCTATCGATGCCTTGCCGCTGTATAAATGTCTGTTTCCTTTGCCCTTCCATCGTCGTAGCGTCGGTCAAGGGTCAATCTCATTAAAATCAGATCTTAGTTCTCGCTGCCGCTAAACAAAGATCTGAGGACATCCCATTAGGGTCACGTCAGAACGACCTTTCATCCGACCAATCAGAGCCTCGCTTACCAGATTATGAAAGTGACAGTCGGAATGTGATTTCTAATCATGCAACCTCGAAAACTTTAACTCCGAACGATAGTTACAGGTTTAACGACTGAATCCATACAATCTAGACCATCTATTAGCCATTCCAGAATGTTCTTTTGTTCAGGTTTCAAATTTGTAATCGAGAATTTGTCAAAATATGTTTCGAAGCGTAGTCGCCAGTTTGAAATTAGTGCCGTAAAGCTAGAGAAAGCTGCCCTCTCATTGGTCATTCCATTGGTTAGTCAAAGTTCGCGCAAGGTCGGTCTGACGTGACCCGTAATGGGATGTCTTCAGATCTTTGTTTAGCGGTAGCGAGAACTAAGATCTGATTTTAATGAGATTGGTCTAGGGTCAAAGTCGTTCAGTCTTGGTCTGCAAATTAAAATTCGCATCAGTCTGTCCAATGTTTCTGTCGTCAAAGAGCATCTGAGTCGAGTCTTGATGAAGTTATTTAAACTATAAGTACACAATTGAATCAGGACAGGTGTCAAGTTTCTATAGATCAGACATGACATTTGAAACAACATTGACAAACTTGTAAACCAAATAATGTGTACTGTTATGAACTGAATCTTTATTCCGAAGTGAGAAAATAATACTGCTATGCTGAATAGCAGTCATTTAGAAATCATTTGTGAGATATGTGTACGTTGTTATCTGTTAAAGCTGTGAAACCTAATCAGCAATGAATAATTAAAACTCTGCTTGCAGACATAGCATTGCTTTGTTGACATACAGCACATTATAACATGACCTGATGTCTGTAGGCCAGGAGTCCATTTAAAACTTGACCTGATGTCTGTAGGCCAGGAGTGCATTTAAACTTGACCTGATGTCCATAGGCCAGTAGTGCATTTAAAACTTGACCTGATGTCTGTAGGCCAGGGGTACATTTAAAACATGACCTGATGATCTTAGGCCAGGGGAGCATTTAAAACATGACCTGATGTCTGTAGGCCAGGAGTGCATTTAAAACTTGACCTGATGTCTGTAGGCCAGGAGTGCATTTAAAACTTGACCTGATGTCCATAGGCCAGGAGTGCATTCAAAACGTGACCTGATGATCTTAGGCCAGGGGAGCATTTAAAACTTGACCTGATGTCTGTAGGCCATGAGTGCATTTAAAACTTGACCTGATGTCCATAGGCCAGGAGTGCATTTAAAACTTGACCTGATGTCTGTAGGCCAGGGGTGCATTTAAAACTTGACCTGATGTCTGTAGGCCAGGAGTGCATTTAAAACTTGACCTGATGTCCATAGGCCAGGAGTGCATTTAAAACTTGACCTGATGTCTGTAGGCCAGGGGAGCATTTAAAACTTGACCTGATGTCCATAGGCCAGGGGAGCATTTAAAACTTGACCTGATGTCTGTAGGCCAGGAGTGCATTTAAAACTTGACCTGATGTCCATAGGCCAAGAGTGGGAGAGGACCTCGACTTGAGCTGGCAGCATTCGGAAATCTCAATTGGGCAACATCAGAGTGCTTGTACCATGGGGTCGCTAAGCTAACAAGGAAAACACTATTCTCGCCAATTAATTCCCCCAGCATGCAGCAGTAGACATGCACAGATAAGATTATGCCCACTGATTCCTTTCTATCATAATATTGGTGGTTTGGAGTTCCAAGGAGTGCCCAACAAAACATCTGGCCTAACAGTCTAGTCATTCTTGGAGGAGGGGGACTCAGCCTCACATGGTACTGTGTCTGTGTTAAGTGCTCTTGGTGGGCCAGTGGTCAGGTGCTGGAGGGGCGGTCGGGTAGCCAAGTGGTTAAAGCATTTACTCGTCAGTTGCAAGTTGCTGTGGTATCAAAATGATGAGTTATGTCGTTATCAACTGTTTACCCTTGGAATTATAACATTAAATGAGTGATGTCAGTTCTAGAATCTTTGTTTTTTATCTTTAGTCAAAGGTGTCGTCCTTAACAAATGTAGGGCGGCGGGGTAGCCTAGTGGTTAAAGTGTTCACTCGTCACGCCGAAACTGGCTTCGATTCCCACATCGGTACAGTGTGTGTATCCCCACCATGATATTGCTGGAATAAAGCTAAAAGCTGTGTAAAACGATACTCACTCACCTTAACAAATGTTGAGTTTACCAAAGGGCATCACAAGTGTTTGCAGAACTTTAAGAATAAAAACTCATGGTATCATACCGAATTGGTGGATAGTTTGGATTCAGGACAAGTTAGGTTGTTGACCAATCTTCAGGTGGTCAGGCTCACTGACTTGGTTGATGTATGTCATCATATCCCAATTGCGTGGATTGATGCTCACGATGTCAATCACTGGATTGTCTGGTCCAGACTTGATTATTAACAGACCACCATCATATAGGTGGAATAATGCTGAGTGTGGCGTTAAACAACAAACAAACAAACCAATATTTGCAGAGCTTTAAGAATACAAAGTCATTGTATCATATCCAACTGTTGGTTAGTTTGGTTTCAGGACAAGTCAGTCTCTTGTTTGACATCACCTGATAAAGGTGAGCTTCAGTACCTCGGGTAATCTGGACCATTAATTAATCTGGACCAATCTGTACTTAATTGTGTACCGGAATATTGAGGTTTGTTTGTTTGTTTGTTGTTTAACACCGCACTCAGCAATGTTCCAGCTATATGACGGCGGTCTGTAAATAATAGAGTCTGGACAAGACAATCCAGTGATTCACATCATGAGCATCGATCCACGCAATTGGGATCGATGACATGCATCAACCCAATCAGCGAACCTGACCACCCGATCCAGTTAGTCGCCTCTTATGACAAGCAGTCACCTTTTACAGCAAGCATGGGTTTGCTGAAGACCTATTCTACCCCGGATCTTTACGGGTCCGAAATATTGTGTGTGGTTCAGACTCAAATATGTACAGAAATAATGTGTGTGATTCTGACTTAATTATTTACAGGAAAATTGTGGTTCAGACCTAATGATTTACAGGAATGTGGTGTGTGGTTCAGACTTGATGATTTACAGGAATGTGGTGTGTGGTTCAGACTTAATGATTTACAGGAGTATGGTGTGTGGTTCAGACTTAATGAATTACAGGAATGTGGTGTGTGGTTCAGACTTAATGATTTACAGGAACACTGCTGACTACAACATTACACAACTTTGTACTCAGTGACTAGGTTGATTGCATCGATCATTGCTCACAATGTCTGTCACCCAATGATTGCTCTACTGTAAGTGATAATGTTTGCATCATCACTGAAATAGTTGTTCTATGGAATGAATACCTCGCTGTGGCTGTTCTCGATGAATACTACATGGATGGATCATTTCCTGGAGAGAGGCAGGACTTGGCAGCAGGGGAAATTGGCTTGAAATATTCACATGCCTAAACAATGATAACACAGGGACACAAGCCTAAACGTCTGGAATCCAATTTGGAGTGTGTCGGTTTTGAAAATTTACTCTGTAATTTTTGAAAGTATTGTGATCAGCAGCAGTAGAAATTAATCTGAAGAATTGACCAACCTGAATTGTGACAACACAAAAAGGCACTCCTGACATATTTTCTGTGTAACTGAGAGGGGGAGGGGAAAAGCTCTGCAGTCAGCAATGTTCTAAATTGGTTCCATTGTAGATTTGCGCAGCAGCAAAAAGTGAGTGAGTGAGTGAGTTGGGTTTAATGCCGCTTTTAACAGTATTCCAGTTATATCACGGCGTGTCAGCTTAATGTGGGAGGAAATGCCGAAGACCCGGGTTTGATTCCCGACATGGGTACAATGTGTGAAGCCCATTTCTGGTGTGCCCCGCCTTGATATTGCTGGAATATTGCTAAAAGCAGTGTAAAACAATATTCACTCACTCACCATATGAACCATCAACCTTTCTTCTCCGGACCCCAAAGCTGAGATCTAACACCTCTGGGAATTCTTCACTCATCTCAACAATTATACACACAAACATGTAGACCAAGTCATCTCAACTTCAGCCCCTCCCTCATAGGAAAAGCTTCCATTTAATATATACATCTTGATATTAACACGAGCGTGTATTAAATGCGAAAAATGCTAAAGGTCTTTGGTCGCATTATTAAACATCGCATTTATGTAAAAATAAGACATTTTGGACAGCAGGAATACCAACTTACACATATGCTGAAAACAAACAACTATGTGTTCAACACCGCTGTTTATTGAGCAGCACTTGTAACAAGTATATTGTCAACAATGTCATTCAAACACTAATTACATCCTGTGTATTGTCACTGCTGAGGTCAAGACAAGAGTTCTCATCACTGATCACACCTGCAAGTCCAGACAGACGCCTCCCAACATGGTGTCTTTGTTCTTTGCGACTGCGTCAAGGGCCGACACGAGCCAGCGGGCTGTATTGTTTTAGCGGAAGTACGCTACTCAGCGCTAATAAGCGGTGCTATTTGGTGTGTGATTGGATTAATGTAAGATTGGAATCAGGTGAGGATTCTCCTGTTAACCTGACAGAGGACATTTTCTCTAGATAGAAATCTACTGATGCTTGAGAGGAGGGGTGGGGTGGGGATTCATTCAGGGGTGGGGTCGCATTAATTTCACGATTTACAGTATTCTGTACCATGGTTCATTATTCTTTCTTTCATCTATGTTTGTTTGTTGTTTAATGCTGCACTCAGCAATTTTCTAGTTATATGACAGCAGTCCGTAAATAATGGAGTCTGGACAAGACTTGTTCTGGGTTGCTGAAGACCTGTTCTACCCGGGATCTTCGTGGGGGACAAGCATGGTATGCTTGAGACCAATTCTACCCGGATCTTCAGGTGTTGTTCATTATTCAGCCTTACTTGACAACGCTATAAGGATCAATACCAAAATGGTGCTTTTACAGTATAATAACGACGTTGTTATCCATTGATTGTGTCCACTTTGACATTTGTATATACAAACGTTATCAGTCATTTCCTAAAGCACTCTCTCTACGTGAACTCTCACATTTAGACATGACGTCACTCTGGAATGTGATCGTCATAATACAATGAATGACGTCACATGATTCCGAGATAACTGGACTCGTCTGGTTAGCAGAATGGAAAAAAACAGATAAAGTTGTTCTGATAAGTATTGATCCAGCTAAATATTTAATTATCATGGTATCCATTCCACCAAGGTGAAAATCCCGTAATGAGGGATAAGAAAAAACTAATCAAGATTGGTGACCCATGATGATCCTGGGTAGTATAGGTTTTCAGCAACCCATGCTTGTTGTAAGAGGCGACTAACGGGGCTTGTTGATGCATGTCATCGTATCCCAATTGCGTGGATCAATGCTCATGATATCAATCACTGGATTGTCTTGTCCAGACACGATTATTTACAGACCGCCGCCATATAGCTGGAATATTATTCATGCACAGTGAAATGTCCAGATTTCTGGACTTGAATCACTTTTAATGTTTTTCAACGAATCAGACTGAATAAGGATGCAACACAAACAGTGAGTGAGTGAGTTGGGTTTAACGCCGCTTTTAACAGTATCCCAGTTATATCACGGCGTGTCAGCTTAATGTGGGAGGAAAGCCCCAAGTGATGCAGGTCTCAGATGTTTATCACTTCTGCGAAACCCCACGAGCACAGGTATGGTGCTGACAAACCTAGAAACATAATGGGGGCGAACCGTGATTCGAACCCACAATCAGGTTTCTGGTGTTCCCAAGGGATGCAACTCTGCACAGCGAATCGCAGCACCTTAGACGACTAGGGCAACACAAACAGGTGACACAGTAATGTCGCTTCTCCAGAGGAGGGTCGGTGGGGTAGCCTTGTGGTTAAAGCGTTCGCTCATCAGGCTGAAAGCCTGGGTTCGATTACAGTGGGTACAGTGTGTGAAGCCTATTTATAGTGTCCCCTCGCTAGCTGTGATATTGCTAAAAGCGGCCCAAAACTCACTCACCCAACACCCCATCCACCCCACAGTAAGACATGCTGTGACACCACCAATAAGGGGAAAGTCATTTAAAGCAAATAAATATCGATAAAAATCTCATCAGAATTGTTTACATACTACTTTGAATTTCACAATAGCAAAAACACACACAGCGACAACAAAAAGACAAAATCCAAGCTGACAAAAAACGGGTTTGAGACGGATTCAATCCAAGGCGCTTTGAAGTGCAACGACTTCTACATTTCGACAGACAAATAACGATCGTAGCACTTTCTTTAAGATTGGTGCAGCATTGGACAATAAATGACAACAACATCGCATCTACCAGCATATTTACAAAATATAGATACACCAACATAAGACCTATGTACAGCGGACTTCAACCACGCATCTGTGAAACAGACATCAGATCGAACACACTTACACAACACCACTGTACATCTAATGGCCCAGACAACGCAATACCTCATGACTGGCTGTCTTGTCTGAAAGGCAGGTGATGCATGTCCGTTGCAAGACAACTGGATTGCGACATACAATTTGGTCTCAGGACGAATGTGAGTGACCGCACACTACACGTGCTGCCAACCAGAGACGTTGCTGCAAACTGCTTGTACACTGAAGCGCATGCGCACATGTACTGAGTGCTTACCACAAAACTACTTTTCATGTACAATTCTCTTAAGAGACTTCTACTGAAAATTGCAACTCTCCTTTAAAAAAATTACTTTAAATAATTTTGATCATTTATAGCCCTTTGGAAACTGAATGATTCACACAAATTACTTACACACTACAAACCTGTCAAGTCTTTGAGCCTTTTGGAAATATCGGAAAATCTAACACATTTACGCATCTACAGTCTAGATCTTGTGCACTTCAATATCAGAGAGTTATTCTCAGTCAATCGTTGGATCTTTCTGGTCTTCTTGTTCTTCTGACAGTTCTGGTTTCTTGGACTGGAGTAAGCATCTCTTTTGGTGGTGAGTCTAACGGCTTTTCTGTAGACTCATCTGCTGGGGTGTCTTCCAAGAATTCTTTCTCCAAGTTTTCTGCAAGTGGCGCCTGTTTCTTCTTCATCGTTGACCTACTGCTGTTTCCATGTTATAAGATCAAGGTGTATCATCCTTGGTTATAGCCGCAGGTTTCCATCTACCAGCTTGTTGTACATGGACAACATCTTCTCTTTCCTTCAATTTGGGCAGAATTTTCTCGTCACTGCTTCTGTTTGAGTTGTTTCTTTTTCGTCTTCTGATTAATTATCTTTGAATCAGCTGTTGACTCATTCCTATTTGAGCAAGCGAAGCAATGTCATCTATTGGAGTGTTCCTTTATTCCAATGATTGTGGGTTCGAATCACATTTCGCCCCAATAACATTCCTAGATTTGTCAGCACCATACCCGTGCTCGTGGGTTTCACCAAAGTGGTAAACGTCTGTGACCTGCATCACTTTAGGCTTTTCCTCCCACATTAAGCTGACATGCCGTGATGTAACACTGTTAAAAGCGGCGTTAAACATAACTCACTCACTCATCTTCCCCTTTATCTTTCAAACTCGGACGGGGCGGTCTAGTGGTTAAAGTGTTTGCTCGTCACACCGATGACCAGGGTCCGATTCCCGACATGGGTACAAAGTGTGAAGCCCATTTCTGGTGTCCCCCGCCGTGATTTTGCTGGAATATTGCTAAAAGCGGTGTAAAACCATACTCACTCACTCGCTCACTCACTCAAACTCGGACCTATGTACAGTTTCAAAGTTTGTTGCCATCTTCTCCACGTATCAGCTAATCTGCCATCTCCAGATGAAAAGTCCATTTCTAATGGAGGGCAAAGATTTTCGATGATGATGCATTGTGTGCTTGCCACACAACTACTCTTAATGTAAATTCCCGTAAGAGACTTCTACTGAATACTGCATTGTTCTTTTTGTGGAGTGGAGGGATGGATGTCTTCAGTATTCCGTATCCAAGGCAACAATTTCTAAAATAAACAAACATGTTTTGTAGAAACAACTTCCAAACAAATAACATAACAAATATCCTAACATATATAGAAAAAATACATCATAAAATATTTCATCATAATTTACCATATGTGTGTCCTTTCTGTTCATCTTAATTCAGTACTAGTAGTATCGGTAGATCTAACAATTCTCATTACCATGATTACCATACATTCCCATCTTCAAGGATTATTCCAACCCCTGCGTTGGGTCCAAAGTTGATACAGTGCTATTAAATCTACAGGTAGCCCAGCTCTACACTGAAATCAATTTCACGAAACATATAGTTTAATGCAAGTATATTTAATTTTGTTTTTTTAATAAGGAAATGGTAGTGGCCAGTCAAATCCATAAACTGAAAAATAAATGTGTCACTTTACCATATGTCTTCCTTGACATACTCCCCTTCCACAGACACACGCATCTCACCCCTGGAGGAGAAACAAGACATTATCAGACACTTATCTCACCCCTGGAGGAGAAACAAGACATTATCAGACACATATCTCACCCCTGGAGGAGAAACAGGACATTATCAGACACATATCTCATCCCTGGAGGAGAAACAGGACATTATCAGACACATTTCTCACCCCTGGAGGAGAAACAAGACATTATCAGACATATCTCACCCCTGGTGGAGAAACAGGACATTATCAGACACATATCTCACCCCTGGTGGAGAAACAGGACATTATCAGACACATATCTCACCCCTGGAGGAGAAACAGGACATTATCAGACACATATCTCACCCCTGGTGGAGAAACAGGACATTATTAGACACATTTCTCACCCCTGGAGGAGAAACAAGACATTATCAGACACATATCTCACCCCTGGTGGAGAAACAGGACATTATCACACACATATCTCACCCCTGGAGGGGGAACAAGAATTTATCAGACACATATCTCACCCCTGGAGGAGAAACAAGACATTATCACACACATATCCCACCCCTGGAGGAGAAACAAGACATTATCAGACACATATCTCACCACTGGTGGAGAAACAGGACATTATCAGACACATATCTCACCCCTGGAGGAGGAACAAGAATTTATCACACACATATCCCACCCCTGGAGGAGAAACAAGACATTATCACACACATATCCCACCCCTGGAGGAGAAACAAGACATTATCAGACACATATCTCACCCCTGGTGGAGAAACAGGACATTATCAGACACTTTTCTCACCCCTGGAGGAGAAACAAGACATTATCAGACATATCTCACCCCTGGTGGAGAAACAGGACATTATCACACACATATCTCACCCCTGGAGGGGGAACAAGAATTTATAAGACACATATCTCACCCCTGGAGGAGAAACAGGGACATTATCACACACATATCCCACCCCTGGAGGAGAAACAAGACATTATCAGACACATATCTCACCCCTGGAGGAGAAACAGGGACATTATCACACACATATCCCACCCCTGGAGGAGAAACAAGACATTATCAGACACATATCTCACCACTGGTGGAGAAACAGGACATTATCAGACATATCTCACCCCTGGTGGAGAAACAAGACATTATCAGACATATCTCACCCCTGGTGGAGAAACAGGACATTATCAGACATATCTCACCCCTGGTGGAGAAACAAGACATTATCAGACATAAATCACACCAATGGAGTGAGTGAATATAGTTTTACGCCGCTTTTAGTGATATTTCAGCAATATCTGGGCAGGGGACACAAGAAATGGGCTTCACATATAGTACCCATGTGGGGAATGAAACACGGGCCTTCGGCGTGATGAGTGAACACTTTAACCACTAGGCTACCCGACCGCCCTACTTTTGTTAAGGACAACACCTTTGACTAAAGATGAAAAACAATGATTCTAGTACTGGTATCACTCATTTAATGTTATAATTCCAAGGGTAAACAGTTAATAACGACATAACAACTCATCATTATGATACCACAGCAACTTGCAACTGTATCTTGGCCAGCAATTGGACCGACCACCTCAGCAAATATTGACTAGGATATTACTGATGAAGTTCATGAATCTTGTGCAATGTTTAGTGGTGAAATTTAACCTTTTTCACTGACGTGACAGAACCTCATTCTTATGAAGTCAAAAGGACATTATCAAAAATATATCTCACCCCTGGAGGAGAGGCAAGTATTTAATTAGACATATATCTCACCCCTAGAGGAGAACCTAGACATTATCAGACATATATATCTCACCCCTGGAGGACAAACAGGGACATTATCAGACATATATATCTCACCCCTGGAGGAGAAACACGGACATTATCAGACATATATATCTAACCCCTGGGGGATAAACAGGGACATTATCAGACATATATATCTCACCCCTGGAGGAGAAACAGGGACATTATCAGACAAATCATACCCCTGGAGGAAGAACAAGTATATTATCAGACATATATATCTCTCCCCTGGAGGAGAAACACGGACATTATCAGACATATATATCTAACCCCTGGGGGATAAACAGGGACATTATCAGACATATATATCTCACCCCTGGAGGAGAAACAGGGACATTATCAGACATATATATCTCACCCCTGGAGGAGAAACAGGGACATTATCAGACATATATATCTCTCCCCTGGAGGAGAAACAAGGACATTATCAGACATATCATACCCCTGGAGGAAGAACAAGTATATTATCAGACATATATATCTCTCCCCTGGAGGAGAAACAGGGACATTATCAGACATATCATACCCCTGGAGGAGAAACAAGGACATTATCAGACATATCTCACCCCTGGAGGAGGAACAAGACATTATCAGACATATCTCATCCCTGGAGGATAAACAAGGACATTATCAGACATATCTCACCCCTGGAGGAGAAACAGGGACATTATCAGACATATCATACCCCTGGAGGAGAAACAGGGACATTATCAGACATATCATACCCCTGGAGGAGAAACAAGGACATTATCAGACATATCTCACCCCTGGAGGAGGAACAAGACATTATCAGACATATCTCACCCCTGGAGGATAAACAAGGACATTATCAGACATATCTCACCCCTGGAGGATAAACAAGGACATTATCAGACATATCATACCCCTGGAGGAGAAACAAGGACATTATCAGACATATCTCACCCCTGGAGGAGGAACAAGACATTATCAGACATATCTCACCCCTGGGGGATAAACAAGGACATTATCAGACATATCATACCCCTGGAGGAAGAACAAGTATATTATCACACACATATCTCACCCCTGGAGGAGAAACAGGCACACTATCTGACATGTATCTCACCAAGTCAAAGGATTACTTCTCTCCATATATTGATGTTGTTTGATTGTGTATTACAGTGACATTGTTACCTGAGTTTCCCTGTCTCCTCTCCGTTGTGGGTCAGCACACACTCAAAACACTGGAAGTCTGGCGAGAACTGATCCTTCAGAGAAACCACACACTCACCTGTAAACATACACAACAATATAGTTAATAAATCATGACATGCTACTTACCATAAGAGCCTAAATCGTCATCACATCCTAAGACATGTTATTACATAGGTTCCAGATAGATGCTACTTACCGTAAGACCCATAATCGTCATCACATCCCCAGACATGTTATCATATAGGTTCCAGACAGATGGTACTTACCGTAAGACTTATTGTCATCACATCCCCGGACAGCTATTAGTATGTGCTGCTCCTCCAGATAGTCCCTGTCTCCGAACATCGGCCGCAGCTGCAAAAACAAATTGTTTTGTTTTGCTTGTGTGTTGTTTAACACACTCAGCAATATTCATGCTATATTACACAGTCGCTAATTAATATAGTCTGGACCAGACAAACCAGTGATTGATATTGTGAGCAACATCCATTCCATTGCGGATACATTGACATGCATCAGCCAAGTTACTGACCCTGACCAACCAATCCGTTAGTCGCCTCTCACAACAAGCTTGGGTTGCTGTCTACCAATTCTAACCCTGATCTTCTTGGAGATAATGGTAAAGCGTACTATGGCACAATTCAGCTCATACCAAGACACAATCAGCCAGTACTATGACACAAGCAGTCAGTACTATGACACAATCAGCCAGTACTATGACACAAGCAGTCAGTACTACGACACAAGCAGTCAGTACTATGACACAAGCAGTCAGAACTACGACACATTCAGCCAGAACTATGCCACAAGCAGTCAGTACTACGACACAATCAGCCAGTACTATGACACAAGCAGTCAGTACTACGACACAAGCAGTCAGAAATACAATACCAGCAGTCAGTACTATGACACAAGCAGTCAGTACTATGACACAAGCAGTCAGAACTACGACACAAGCAGTCAGAACTACGACACAATCAGCCAGTACTATGACACAAGCAGTCAGTACTACGACACAAGCAGTCAGAAATACAATACAAGCAGTCAGTACTATGACACAAGCAGTCAGTACTATGACACAAGCAGTCAGAACTACGACACAAGCAGTCAGTACTATGACACAAGCAGTCAGTACTACGACACAAGCAGTCAGTACTATGACACAAGCAGTCAGTACTACGACACAAGCAGTCAGTACTACGACACAAGCAGTCAGTACTATGACACAATCAGCCAGTACTATGCCACAAGCAGTCAGTACTATGACACAAGCAGTCAGTACTATGCCATAAGCAGTCAGTACTATGACACAAGCAGTCAGTACTATGCCACAAGCAGTCAGTACTATGACACAAGCAGTCAGTACTATGCCATAAGCAGTCAGTACTATGACACAAGCAGTCAGTACTATGACACAAGCAGTCAGTACTATGACACAAGCAGTCAGTACTATGCCATAAGCAGTCAGTACTATGACACAAGCAGCCAGTACTATGCAACAAGCAGTCAGTACTACAAAACAATCAGCCAGTTCTATGACACAAGCAGCCAGTACTATGACACAAGCAGCCAGTACTATGACACAAGCAGCCAGTACTATGACACAATCAGCCAGTACTATGCACAAGCAGTCAGTACTTTGACACAAGCAGTCAGAACTACGACACAAGCAGTCAGTACTACGACACAAGCAGTCAGTACTATGACACAATCAGCCAGTACTATGACACAAGCAGTCAGTACTATGACACAAGCAGTCAGTACTATGCCATAAGCAGTCAGTACTATGACACAAGCAGTCAGTACTATGACACAAGCAGTCAGTACTATGACACAAGCAGCCAGTACTATGACACAAGCAGCCAGTACTATGACACAAGCAGCCAGTACTATGACACAATCAGCCAGTACTATGCACAAGCAGTCAGTACTTTGACACAAGCAGCCAGTACTATTGTACTATTGTCTAAGGCAACACAATTTGCTCTGCAGAGTTGCATCCCTTTTATGTGGCAGGTTTCAAGGAAGAGCTGTATTTCTCATCACACAGGACGTACCTGAGGCAGTTGGTCAGCATGCCATTCCGGACAGGAGCTGCTTTTGCTCTTGATAACCTTGTCTGAAACACACAGTGACACACCTGTCGTACATCCAGTATACGAGTCATTCCTAGAGTCATTCCAAGTTCACGTACCCTATTTCTCCAGTTAATCCACTGTTTTTTAACATACAGTCGAAACTCATTATCTCAATCTCATGTGTACCTGATAAAAAGATTGACATTTCTGAGGTTCCGACACATCTGACTCGACCTTACCGTGACCAAACCATCAGAAAAAATCAGAACCACGTCACATGTCAGGTAAAAAAACCATTTGTATAATAAGAATATAAACTGATGCACCTGTATTATACTATTTCAAACTTGTGCTTAGTTTCACTTAAAGTTCAAAATTTGGACTCTTTGGACTATAAATTGAGTACGGGACTACCAGCCATTTGACACATCCATTTTGACACACATCCAGGTTAAAATAGTTGTACATACAGTAAGAGTTGAGGTGAGGTGAAATGGGGTTTAACGTCGCGTCCAAGATTGTGTGTGTGTGTGTGTGTGTGTGTGTGTTGGGCTGTGTGTGTGTGTGTGTGTTGGGCTGTGTGTGTGCGTGCGTGCGTGTTGGGCTGTGTGTGTGTGTGTTTGGCTGTGTGTGTGTGTGTGTGTGTGTGTGTGTGTGTGTGTGTGTGTGTGTGTGTGTGTGTGTGTTGGGCTGTGTGTGTGTGTGTGTTTGGCTGTGTGTGTTTGGCTGTGTGTGTGTGTGTGTGTGTGTGTGTGTGTGTGTGTGTGTGTGTGTGTTGGGCTGTGTGTGTTTGGCTGTGTGTGTGTGTGTGTGTGTGTTGGGCTGTGTGTGTGTGTGTGTTGGGCTGTGTGTGTGTGTGTGTTGGGCTGTGTGTGTGTTGGGCTGTGTGTGTGTGTTGGGCTGTGTGTGTGTGTGTGTTGGGCTGTGTGTGTGTGTGTGTGTTGGGCTGTGTGTGTGTGTGTTGGGCTGTGTGTGTGTGTTGGGCTGTGTGTGTGTGTGTGTGTGTGTGTGTGTGTGTGTGTGTGTGTGTGTGTGTGTGTGTGTGGCTGCTTGTACTAGCCCCGACTTATTCTGATTTATAGTGCTAGCACACTGAGACACCACACCGCAGTTTAACATAAATACCCCACTCAGACACAGTATACTGACTCCGAGCCGACTAGTATACTTTTGGTATGAACCCTGTACCTTCCGCTCTCCGAGGCGGACACTCTACCTCTAGACCATGTTTGCTGGGAGTTCGACACAACCAGGGATACGACACATCCGAGTTCGACACATCTAAGTTTGACACAACCAGGGATACGACACATCTAAGTTTGACACAACCAGGGATACGACACATCTAAGTTCGACACAACCAGGGATACCACACATCCGAGTTCGATACATCTAAGTTCAACACAACCAGGGATATGACACATCTAAGTTCAACACAACCAGGGATACGACACATCTAAGTTCGACACAACCAGGGATTTCGACACATCCAAGTTTGACACAACCAGGGATTTCGACACATCCGAGTTTGACACATACAGGGATTTGACACATCTGTGTTCGACACAACCAGGGATATGACACATCTGAGTTTGACACAACCAGGGATTTCGACACATCCGAGTTTGACACATACAGGGATTTGACACATCTGTGTTCGACACAACCAGGGATATGACACATCTGAGTTCAACACAACCAGGGATTTCGACACATACAAGTTTGACAGACAGAGATTTGACACATCTGTGTTCGACACAACCAGGGATATGACACATCTGAGTTCGACACAACCAGGGATTCAACACATCCGAGTTCGACACAAAGGGGCCCAACTGAAGTTTGTTGTTGTTAGTTGTTTAATGTCGAGAACAACAGCATTATTCCAGCCACACAACAAAAGCATTAAAATAATCAGGGATTCGACACATCCAAGTTCGACACAACCAGGGATTCGACACACCCAAGTTCGACACAACCAGGGATTCGACACATCCGAGTTTGAGGCAAAGGGGCCCAACTGAAGTTTGTTGTTGTTAGTTGTTTAATGTCGAGAACAACAGCATTATTCCAGCCACACGACACAAGTCTGAAAATAATTGAGTCAGGCAAACCAGTGATTGACATTTTGAGCAATGATCCATATCTTCTGGGTACATGGGTACAGTGGCACACAATCAACCATGTCACCGTGACTGAACACCCGATACTTTAAGTCGCTTCGTACGACAAGTATAATTTGCTGGGATCTATCCTAACCTGGAATCCCCACATCTTCCCGAGGTCAATTAACTGAAAAAAGTCCAGTTTCAACCCTTGCTGAACTAGGCTGGAATTATGGAGACATTAATTATGGAGTCAATTGCAGGATTTGGATAGCGGTGTCAACATATATTTTCCAAATCTTTTCATGTTTTTAATCAAGGTGCTCACGTGATATGACGCACTTTGCGAAGTAAGAACTGTTTTATTACAATATAAATCTTGATTATTGATCAGATCATCTTGACTAGCACCACCATTTTGTTTGAAGCAAATGCAAGTGATTTGAGAGGTGGAACCTGAGTGAGTGAGTGAGTGAGTGAGTGAGTGAGTGAGTGAGTGAGTGAGTGAGTGAGTGAGTGAGTGAGTGAGTGAGTGAGTGAGTGAGTGAGTGAGTGAGTGAGTGAGTGAGTGAGTGAGTGAGTGAATGGGTGGGTGGGTGGGTGAGTGAGTGAGTGTGGTTTTCGCCGCTTTTAGCAATATTCCAGCAATATCACAGCAGGGGACACCGGAAATGGGCTTCACACATTGTACCCATGTGGGGAATCGAAACCTGGGTCTTCAACGTGACCAGTGAACACTTTAACCACTAGGCAACCCGACTGCCCCTGATTGGTCAGTAGGAGGGACATAGAAGTGACACAGCTCAAAATAGCCACTGATGGAGCTATGATCGGGCACAGAAATTCCAGCCTAGTTCGGCAAGGGTGGAAAGTGTACTTTCATAGTCAGTTCACGCCCTTGTCTCAGGAAGATGGAATCCCCATGGGGTGACAAGTGGCCCACACAGGATGCTCCTGATATATTAATGTTGTTAAGGACTCACCTGACAGACAGCTGGAATAGAACTCCAAGATGAAGTGTTGCCGGACACACGTCCGCACCTGAAACACAGCAACATCACCTTTAATTTACAAATTAACCTTCCAATTTCCACACAACATTATTCAGCATACTTGGTGACGATTAACAATCAAACAATTGAATTCACAAACTGAACCAAAGTTGAGCCCAGATCATCTGTGAAGGAGGTACACACTTCACCACAGGGCTCAGGGATGAGAACATTCTGTATTGGGGTTAACGCCACTTTGAACAGTTATATCACGGCGTGTGTCAGCTTGATTGAGGACAACCAGAACTGACGACTTTGGTGAAAACCCATCATCATGGGTATGGTGCTGACAAGCTAAAAAGCACAATCAGGACAAACCTGGGGTTTGAAACCACAATTATTGGTTCCTGTCATGCCTAAGGGACACAACTCTACACAGAAACACTTTAGATGATTGGGCTATACACATTAAAGGGAGTAACCAAAAACATTTAGTTAAAATATAAATGGATATTTTTCTCTTTCAAAACTATATTGGCATGATTTTATTGTATGACATTACTGGACCATAGTCAAGTTCAATTTTAACACCCCCATCCCTGAGGGATAACACCCAACCGTGTGTTAAATTATGCTCTAAATATTCACAGAATCCTACTCTACCTGCGCCTCAATTCTGTTAAAGAGGATTCTAATGCTGGAGTTCTCTGTGAGCATGGCTTGGCTCTGTACGAACTGCGACGCGATCCCGACGGTGAAGGACGCGAACACAGGTCGGTGGTCACTGTTCAGCAGGTTCTCCACACTTCCTGAAACAGTAACACCCTCAAAATGAAACAAGGCGGGAAAGTTTAAAAACTTGATTCTCAGGCAATCCCTTTCCAACTATTGGTCAAAAGTCGTAGCACCAAGAGTGTCGTAACTCGGATACTTTAATAGGATGAGATGGGGTGAAATGGGGCTTAATGTCGCGTTCAAGATTATTGCACTTATAGAGCGACATGCATGCATGTGTTTGTGTGTTGCTGCTTGTACTAGTCCGGGCTAATGCTGATATATACTCAACAACAAAAGTTCCTGTGACACCACTATTTTAGTGTATTTTTCAAACAAGTAAAGTTTGATTTTCAATATTGTAGTACATGTATGGAATCAAGTCACAAAAACGCAACTGCTACAGAAAAGACAATTTAACGTCCAACAAAAACACCATTTGGTGTTTATGGCAACGTTGGCAACAGACGAATGCAGTCAGAGACCAACCTCGGAGTGGCAGGCTACGTGTAACCAATAATCGACAAGACAACTACGAAATTGATTCCAGCCAGCAACAGTGACTGCAAAAAGCATCCCTGGCCTTCGACGAATATCTTCACAAACCGTACGTCGTCGCCTCAGATGTGCAGGGATTGTTGCCAGAAGACCCGCCAGACGTCCCATTTTGACAGGAAACCACCGCCAAGCATGTCTTCAGTGGTGCAGCTAGAGTCTACACTGGACGGCCATGCAGTGGGGACGAGTTCTATTCACTGACGAGTCTCGTTTTCACCTCAGCCACAGCGATGGACGGATTCGAGTGTACCGACGTCGAGGTGAACGTTACGTCAATCATTGTGTCATGGAAGAAGATCGGTTGATGGTATAGGGTGGGATTACAGCAAGACAGAGGACCCGTTTGATAGTGGTAGAGGGAAATCTCAATGGACAGCGCTACCGCGACGAGATCATCAGCCCTGTTGTTCTACCATTTTTACGTCGTCACTGCCCAGGCATTACCTTTCAACATGACAACGCCCGGCCTCATATTGCTCGACTTGTTCAGGATTCTCTTCAACAAAACAACGTGAATGTCATCCCCTGGCTGGCTCGCTCCCCTGATCTCTCACCAATCGAGCACATGTGGGATGAGATGGATTGACGCCTTCGATGTCAACCACGTGTTCCACAGACACTCCAGGAACTTCGAAACATGCTCGAGCAGATATGAACAGATATCCCACAGGACTTTGTCCGACGCCTGGTCCATTCCATGAGACGAAGACGTGTGGCTTGCATCACAACCAGAGGTGGACACACACGCTATTGATTTGTAATTGACATTTTGACATTTTGATGTTTTTTATGAAATCACACAATTAAACCATTTGAACACTTACAGGAGTCTTTTCTCTGTTGCAAACCGAAATTGTTTCAGATTTGGTAAAAAACATAACTTTGCATTAAATCTTATTCAATGTCACAGGAACTTTTGTTGTTCAGTATAGTTCCAACCCACAAGATACCATGCCACAGTTTAACATGAACGACCCACTCAGACACAGTGTACTCTACCACACAGCATAATGCCTAGTGCCAGGTAGGGTAACAAAAAGCACCATATATTAACATATTTTGATATGACCTGACCAGGAATCGAACCACAGGAGTAAGCTCTCCAGGCAGAAGCTCTATTCACCAGACCACAGAGGCAGTCGATACTTTAACAACCCACCATATGCGTTGTTCTCGATGAAGGTCCCCGGGTAGGAATGCCAGAGTACTCGGTCACACCAAGACGGCACATTGATTATTTCCTGAAATAACATAAATACACCCGTAAAGAATATGTTAGGTACAGGGAAACCCTGCTCTGTACGCTGTTGATATGAACACGAGAAAATCTACATAAAGAACACCATACCCATGATACATTAATCCCAATCTCATTAAAATCAGATCTTAGTTCTCGCTATCGCTAAGCAAAAATCTGAGGACATCCCATTACAGGTCACGTCAGAACAACCTTTCATCCAACCAATCAAAGCGTCGCTTACCAGATCAGGAAAGTGACAGTCCAAATGTGTTTTCTAATCATGCAACCACGAAATATTTAACACGGGGTATTCCGAACGACAGTTATGGATTTTTTGATTATATCCATACAATCTATGCCATCTATAAGCCATTCCAGAATGTTCTTCTTATCAGTTTTAATCGAGAATACGTCAAAATATGTTTGAAACTAGTGTCGTAAAGCTCGTGAAAGCTGCCTTCTGATTAGCTAATGTCGATTTCTTGTCAGTCATTTCATTGATCGGTCAAAATTCGCGAAAGGTCGTTCTGACGTGACCCGTAATGTGATGTCCTCAGATCTTTGTTTAGCAGTAGCGAAAACTAAAATCTGATTTTAACAAGATTGCATTAATCCGAAAATTTGTTAAGTCGGACGATTTTACTGGGAAATCTACAGTCCGGATAAACAACGTTTCAACTAAGAAGAAGAGTTTGAAGTAAAGGAATCTGCAAACAACTGCCTGAAGTACGAGGCCACTATGTTATAGACCCTGCTACCAACCCACCCCAGTCATCTTGACCTTCTTCCAGTCGTACCTGTAGCCAGGTATCCCTCGGTACAGGCGGTAGGTTGGCATGAAGTTGATCTCGCTCTCATCTGAAACATACAGGACTCAGCTTTAGAAATATTGGTGAGTGAGTGAGTGAGTGAGTATGGTTTTATGCTGCTTTTAGCAATATTCCAGCAATATCACGGCGGGACACCAGAAATGGGCCTCACACATTGTACCCATGTCGGGAATCAAACCCTGCTTTAACCACTAGGCTACCTGACCACGTCAGAAATATTTGTGAATATTTTGCTTTATTTGAATGGTGAAAAAGAAAGAAACACAAATGAAAAATCATATTTTCCTAATGCCATACAATTTTTCCAATTGTCTTACAAAAAGCACTTTAAATCCTAATGAAAAATATGATGTCATCAAAAGGAGAAACAGAGACGACAAAATTTAAGCTTCCTCAGTCTGGCAATTTCAGAGACTAAAATGTTATGTTTGTTTGTTTGTTTGTTGTTGCACTCCGCAATATTCCAGCTATATGATGGCGGTCTGTAAATAATCGAGTCTGGACCAGACAAACCAGTGATTGACATCATGAGCACCGATCCATGCAATTGGGATACGATGACATGGATCAACCAAGTCAGCAAGCCTGACCACCCGATCTCGTTAGACGCCTCTTACGACAAGCATAGTCGCCTTTTATGTCAAGCATGGGTTGCTGAAGACCTATTCTACCCCGGATCCTCACGGGTCGACTACAATGTTTATGAGGATGTAAGAACATTACAGGACTAAGCAGTGGCCATAACCAGGTTTGGGATTCGGTCTGCTGTGGCGGCCATTTTGAAAATAGGACTTGAACCCCTTGAGAAAATTCAGGTGTCACCATTGGTGGCAACAAGCATGTGAAGTTTTAAGCAGGAGATAACCTTTTTTCAAATTTGACGTAGTCACACTGTAGAGTAGATACCTCTTATTTTAATTTGGAACAAATTTTAAAACACAGTAGGTTATGCTCCATTCTTCCATGACAGCAAGAGCACATTGAAAACTGTGCTCTCTTGTAACGCATAACCACACAGGGTACGAAGGGCCGCTATCTTAGAACATTCCAAAAAGGGGTGAAAGGAAGTTATAAATGTAACATACATTAATAAAGTTCAACATGCTTATATAATGCTAAACTAATTCATTTCTCGAACAAACTTTATGAATTAACATTCTACTACATATTTTAAATGTGTATATATGTGATATTTACAGACAGCACTGATGCAGGTCGACGGACAGACAAACAGATCACACATGAGGACACAGGCAGGCTAACGACTCACTGAAGTTGAAGAAGGCGTCTTTGTCAAACTGTGTCTTCCTCAGTTGGTCTCTGTCTAGCAGAAATTGAATGTCGCGATCTTCGGCTCTCTTCAGCACAACCTGCAGACAAACACAACAGACGACGTGTATTTCTGAGTTACCTCCCCTTATTATATAGAATGAGTGATTGTGTTTATAATTATCATTATATTATGATTTTGTAAAGCGCAATTTTTTTTGTAACAACTCGAATGCGCTAAAACCTTCATAGATCTTAGTATGACACCCATTAGTGAGCCCTTGATGTTCATTCTCAGCTCTCTGGGGAGTATACAACCCAGTGCAGGTTCACATTCGCATCTCATCCTACCAGGTACCCATACGCTGCTTGAACAAATTAACTTTCCTTAGGAGACATCACGTGTGCTACATGTGCATCAGTGTGAGGCATGACCGAAGCCGAAACTCTCAGGAGCCAAGCTGCCATGGTCACCCATCAAAGGACTCTCCGCAACCGATGATGCTTAACTTCACCTCATTTTTGACATATGAGGAGAACACAGGGAGAACATGGGTAGAAAACGGGGAGAACAGGGGGAGAACACGGGGAGAACAGGGGGAGAACACGGAGAGAACACGGGGAGAACACGGGGAGAACACTGAGAGCACACGGGGAGAACAGGGGAGAACACGGGGAGAACAGGGGAGAACACAGGGAGCACACGGGGAGAACACGGGGAGAACACGGAGAGAACACGGGGAGAACAGGGGGAGAACACGGGGAGAACAGGGGGAGAACACTGAGAGCACACGGGGAGACCAGGGGAGAACACGGGGAGAACACGGAGAGAACACGGGGAGAACAGGGGGAGAACAGGGGGAGAACAGGGGGAGAACACGGGGAGAACAGGGGAGAACACGGAGAGAACACGGAGAGAACAGGGGGAGAACACGGGGAGAACATGGGGAGAACAGGGGGAGAAAACGGGGAGAACACGGGGAGAACACGGGGAGAACACGGGGAGAACAGGGGGAGAACACGGGGAGAACAGGGGGAGAACACGGACACGGGGAGAACAGGGGGAGAACACTGAGAGCACACGGGGAGAACACCGGGAGAACAGGGGAGAACAGGGGGAGAACAGGGGGAGAACAGGGGGAGAACACGGGGAGAACAGGGGGAGAACACGGGGAGAACATGGGGAGAACAGGGGGAGAACACCATGGGGAGAACACCATGGGGAGAACATGGGGAGAACACGGGGAGAACAGGGGGAGAACATGGGGAGAACACGGGGAGAACACGGGGAGAACAGGGGGAGAACACGGGGAGAACACGGGGAGAACATGGGGAGATCACGGAAGTATTGGTCAGATATGACTTTGTTAAAGCAGAAGAACATGGCTATGATGAAGACAAACCATGGATTGAAGCAAAGGATATAGAATCATAAGGGTCCTTTAGACAACTCGCCACTTACCTCGTAGTTGGGATCTAAACTCGATCAATTCTCACAGAGCTAACCCTAACCACTCACATCTACTTTCTCCACAATTCTGTAGTTGAGATCTGAACTTGATCAATTCTCACAGAGCTAACCACTCACATCTACTTTCTCCACAATTCTGTAGTTTAGATCTGAACTCGATCAGTTCTCACAAAGCTAACCCTAACCACTCACATCAACTTTCTCCATAGTTCTGTAGTTGAGATCTCCAAAGAAGAAAACGTGGTGGAACTTGTGCGATACATCAAATCCTTCGAAACTCTTTGGACCAAGTGACAACCCTTTAAGGATGTCTCTGAAACACTGGTTCCGCCTGAAATGTCATAATTTGAATCACAGTGAAAGTTAAAGGTCACAACCATCAGAATATGACTATTTCTTTGATATTCTAAAATCTTCTTATCTTTATCAGTGAAGTAATGCTACCCAAGAAACAACCCACCTGTGCAAATTCTCTTCCCTCGCAGTCAGATGTGCGTTGATGAAACAGATGGAGGTACCGTTGAACTGGAATGAAACAGCTGAAGCTCCTTTGTCGCCTAGCAACAGAAAGTAAATAAATTAAGAAATATTTATTTATTTAAAAAATCAGTCAGTTATAAATAACGTTTCCATATGTGCAGATGTTATTGAATATAAACATGATTAGTGCAAGAATATTTAGTTCAGTACTCGTTAATTATGATAACGACATCTAAGTGACCCGGGGACTACTTAGATTTAACTAATGGTGTCTATCCCTGACCTGAGGAGAAATAACAGTCACTCTTTGTTATATATTTTCAGATACGGGCATTGCACAAAGTAGAGTATTACTAAATGACAAATATCTGTTTGTTTGTTTTTTGTTTAACGCTGCACTCAGCAATATTCCGGCTATAGGACGGCAGTCTGAAAATAATTAAGTCTCGAGCAGACAATCCAGTGATTAACATCATGAGCATCGAGCTACGCTATTGGAATACGATGACATGTTTCAACCACCCTGACCACCCGATCCTGTTAGTCGCCTCTTACGACAAGCATGAAGACCAATTCTAATCTGGATCTTCACGGGTATAACGACACATATAAGGCATGTTCCAGTATATAAGTATTTCAACATAGTACATATAAAACAATGTGCTTTCAATGTACAAGAAATATCAGTCATGATACAAGTGCATGAGAGTGAACAATGTAAACAGTCACGATTTTTGGTGTAACATATGACTCACATTGTACTATATGTTTCCTTTCTCAATTCATATACAGGATGCAGTTGGTATCAAGTAAAACCATGACAGATAGTGAAGAACAGATTTAGAAACTAGATATTAGATTAAAAGAATTGTTTTACACTTCTGACACCTGTCTATTCAAGGGTTAGAAATTTGTTGTTGTTTTTAAGACCAGTGTAATTATGATGTCATCAAAACTGGTGCACATATTGTGTTTACATATACTGTTCCTGCAAATACTTTCAAAGAGTGCGTGAGTGAGTGAGTGAGTGAGTCGGAATTAACGCCGCTTTTAATAGTATTCCAGTTATATCGCGGCGTGTCAGCTTAATGTGGGAGGAAAGCCCAAAGTGAGGCAGGTCTTAGACGTTTACCACTTCGCTGAAACCCACGAGCACGGGTATGGTGCTGACAAACCTAGAATCATAATCGGGGCGAACCGGGATTTGAACCCACAATCATAGGTTTCTGGCGCGCCCAAGGGACGCAACTCTGCACAGCGAATCGTGGCAACTTAGACGACTGGGCCACCCGTGCCCCCACTTTCAAAGAACATTAGTTGATCGACCATGGATATTGGTCTTAAAGACTCGGCCTATACCCAAAAGACTACCAGCAGTGTTTGGAACTAAGCATGGTCAAGGTGTCATAACCCTAATGTTACAAGTAAAACATGAAGGTCCCTGGATTCAAATACCATACAAAGCCTTAGGGACCCGAGTTTTCCCCTTGTTTTCGAACACTGCATGGGGTATTATTCTCCTAACAGGGTACAATGGATGTGATGTTTCTATAGCGACGTACCAAGAGCATTAGCGATGCCGGTCTTGACGGAGGACTTCTGTACGTGGGAGATGCAGTGACGGTGTTGTGGGTTGATGAGGACAACGACGCGGATACCCCACAAGTTGCACATCTCCAGCTGAAATAATGGATCAGCAATGCATGTACCAACTAGTTGGAAAAGTTAAAAAATACCAAAACTTTATATGTATTTTCAAGATAAAAACAACGGTGCATACCATCTCCACGTCTACCATGAGCGTGGCCTTCAGCGATGCCTTCAGCGTGTTGACCCAGTCCTTGTCGTTGAGAGCACTCTCCTGTGTGCCAATCACGTAGATGTCGTGTGGAATGCGGGACAGTGTGCGATCCAGGGACTTGCCTTCACCATTACACTTCAGCCAGTGTTTCAGCGTGTGGTCGGGGGCCGACTTCCCTGGAAGACACCATGGCAACTGAGGTAAACAGGTTGCAGTAGGATCATGGCGTCACCTGTCGTGGCGACCAATGACTGAATGCTGAACGCTCACACTCTCAGATCAGATTTAGTGAAGCTAAAAACCTTCTACATTCACCTACCCACATTCCACATCACACAACCCATATTCTCTGTCCATCTACCCACATTCCACATCTTCCTATCCATATTCCACGTCCACCAACCTATATTCCACGTCCACCAACCTATATTCCACATCTTCCTTCCGATATTCCACATCCACCTACCAATATTCCACATCTTCCTTCCGACATTCCTCATCTTCCTACCCATATTCCATGTCCACCTACCCATATTCCACATCCACCTACCCATATTCCACATCAACCTACCCATATTCCACGTACACCTACCTATATTCCACGTCCTCCAACCGATATTCCACATCTTCTTTCCAATATTCCACGTCCACCTACCAATATTCCACATCTTCCTACCCATATTCCACATCCACCTACCCATATTCCGCGTCCACATACCTGTATTCCACGTCCACCTACCAATAATCCACATCCACCTACCAATATTCCACGTACACCTACCTATATTCCACATCAACCTACCCATATTCCACGTACACCTACCTATATTCCACGTACACCTACCTATATTCCACGTCCACCAACCGATATTCCACATCTTCCTTCCCATATTCCACATCCACCTACCCATATTCCGGATCCACATACCTGTATTCCACGTCCACCTACCGATATTCCACATCTTCCTTCCGATATTCCTCATCTTCCTACCCATATTCCACGTCCACCTACCAATAATCCACATCCACCTACCCATATTCCACATCTTCCTACCCATATTCTGCATCCACCTACCCATATTCCACATCTCCCTACCATATTCCACTTCCACCTACCCATATTCCACGTCCCAATGAACACAGAGATCTGATCCACTTTCTCTTCCTTGGAATGTAAGCTCTTCATGTGTCGGATCTGGAGGCAGAAGTTCTCTCTAGCATGGGCGTTCTCAAACATGTAGGATGTCTTCTTCTTGCCCTCGATGATCACGTCAAGACGGCTGTTGTCGGACGTGCTTTTCACTAGCTGAAGGACTGGAAGTAAACAACAAAATTATGTGAGATATGGTAGAACAATAAGTAAAATATTTCAGGAACATTTACAAAAATAAATACTGTGTTGTCTTTTCAAGTCCAAGCCATCATTCACATCCAGGAGGCACGGGTGGCCCAGTCACCTAAGGCGCCTCGATTTGCTGTGCAGAGTTGCTTCCCTTGATCAAGCCAGAAACCTATGATTGTGAGTTCGAATCCCGGTTCGCCCCGATTATGTTTCTAGGTTTGTCAGCACCCTACCCGTGCTCATGGGTTTCACCGAAGTGGTAAACGTCTGAGACCTGCATCACTTCGGGCTTCCCTCCCACATTAAGCTGACACGTCGTGATATAACTGGAATACTGTTAAAAGTGGCGTTAAACCCATCTCACTCACTCATTCACATCCATTCACCCTGATGTTATACTTTTGTACTGCCTTGACTGGTCTACAGTGTCACAATTTACTGAGCCGCAATTTACAGTGCCGTTGCAACAATTATCCATGTCAAGATCTCACATCCATGAGCTCTGACATCATTCACATCCAAAAGTTTAAAGCCATCGTGACCCTGATTATGATCTCAAGGTCACCACTATCATGTGAGTTTCTCATGCACAGCTTCAGAGGGAGCAGAGAGTTGAAAGAAACAAATCTTTTAGTTGAAAATACAACAGATTCACTGTAATAATTCAGATCTGAGAAAAAATGGCTCACATGAACCTTGTCTAGAAGAGTTTTTGTAGTATATATTGGCCTGACAAATGTACATTCGTTCTCTGAACACAAATACTTGCCCTCTAGCACACTGTATGGTTTGGACATATTATGGACAGTTGATTATTAATCATCTGGTTATTTACTTCGGTCATGTGTGAAGGTGTTTCTTGATTCTTGGACGTCCTTGGAGGGTTTGACAGCATAGAAGCATCCTCGCTGAATGTCCACATTCAGCGACACCTTACTGGTGAATATTCCCGCCTTCGATGACCGCACCTGGGAAATAATGCATCATTTAAAAAAGTGAGTTTTTGGCTTGTGTTGTTTTATGTTGCACAAAGGAATATTCAAGCTAAATGATGGCAGCGTGTAAAAAAGCAAGTCAGCTATTGATAAAGGGTTGGAATGGTGAAGAATTAACACCTCAAAGGGGAGAGAGAGAGAGGTGGATGGAGAGAGGGGACTCACCTCGAAGGACAAGGGTAGATGGAGAGAGGGGACTCACCTTAAAGGACGAGAGTAGATGGAGAGAGGGGACTCACCTTAAAGGACGAGAGTAGATGGAGAGAGGGGACTCACCTCGAAGGACAAGGGTAGATGGAGAGAGGGGACTCACCTCGAAGGACGAGAGTAGATGGAGAGAGGGGACTCACCTCGAAGGACAAGGGTAGATGGAGAGAGGGGACTCACCTTAAAGGACGAGAGTAGATGGAGAGAGGGGACTCACCTTAAAGGACGAGAGTAGATGGAGAGAGGGGACTCACCTCGAAGGACGAGAGTAGATGGAGAGAGGGGATTCACTTCAAAGGACAAGAGTAGATGGAGAGAGGGGACTCACCTCGAAGGACAAGAGTAGATGGAGAGAGGGGACTCACCTCGAAGGATGAGAGTAGATGGAGAGAGGGGACTCACCTCGAAGGACAAGGGTAGATGGAGAGAGGAAGGACTCACCCCGAAGGACGACAGGGGTATGGAGAGAGGGAGGACTCACCTCGAAGGACGACAGGGGTATGGAGAGGGGGAAGACTCACCTCGAAGGACGACAGGGGTATGGAGAAAGAGGACTCACCTCAAAGGACGACAGGGGTATGGAGAGGGAGGACTCACCTCGAAGGACGACAGGGGTATGGAGAGAGGGAGGACTTACCTCGAAGGACGACAGGGGTGTGGACAAGGAGGACTCACCTGGAAGGACGACAGGGGTATGGAGAGAGGGAGGACTCACCTCGAAGGATGACAGGGGTATGGAGAGAGGGAGGACTCACCTCGAAGGACGACAGGGGTATGGAGAGAGGGAGGGCTCACCTCGAAGGATGACAGGGGTATGGAGAGAGGGAGGACTCACCTCGAAGGACGACAGAGGTATGGGGAGAGGGAGGACTTACCTCGAAGGACGACAGGGGTATGGAGAGAGGGAGGACTCACCTCGAAGGATGACAGGGGTATGGAGAGAGGGAGGACTCACCTCGAAGGACGACAGAGGTATGGGGAGAGGGAGGACTTACCTCGAAGGACCACAGGGGTATGGAGAGAGGGAGGACTCACCTTGACGGACGACAGGGGTATGGAGAGAGAGGACTCACCTCGAAGGACGACAGGGGTATGGAGAGGGAGTACTCACCTCAAAGGACAACAGGGGTGTGGAGAGAGGGAGGACTCACCTCGAAGGACGACATGGGTGTGGAGAGGGAGCACTCACCTCGAAGGACCAGAGGGGTATGGAGAGAGGGAGGACTCACCTCGAAGGATGAGAGGGGTATGGAGAGAGGGAGGACTCACCTCGAAGGACGACAGGGGTATGGAGAGAGAGAGGACCCACCTCAAAGGACGACAGGGGTATGGAGAGGGGGAGGACTCACCTTGATTGACGACAGGGGTATGGAGAGAGAGGACTCACCTCGAAGGACGACAGGGGTATGGAGAGAGGGAGGACTCACCTCGAAGGACGACAGGGGTATGGAGAGAGGGAGGACTCACCTCGAAGGACGACAGGGGTATGGAGAGAGGGAGGACTCACCTCGAAGGACGACAGGGGTATGGAGAGAGGGAGGACTCACCTCGAAGGACGACAGGGGTATGGAGAGAGGGAGGACTCACCTCGAAGGACGACAGGGGTATGGAGAGAGAGAGGACTCACCTCGAAGGACGACAGGGGTATGGAGAGAGGGAGGACTCACCTCGAAGGACGACAGGGGTATGGAGAGAGGGAGGACTCACCTCGAAGGACGACAGGGGTATGGAGAGAGAGAGAGGACTCACCTCGAAGGACGACAGGGGTATGGGGAGAAAGAGGACTCACCTCGAAGGACGACAGGGGTATGGAGAGAGAGGACATGGGAGACGGCATCTGCTGAAGAGCCCCGGTCAGCTCCCTCATCTCGTCGGAGTCCAGGTAGTCGTAGCTGCTGTCGGGGAGCTGCTTCACCACCTCATGGGCCTGAAACACAAACACACCAGATCAGGAGAGGTATCCATGGCATCCAATTTCTCAAATAATATCAGTTCCTAAAACAGATGTTACCAAATTATTAAAAACAAATATTATTTGTGCTGTAGAGGACTAAGAAGATACTACCAAATCAAGACCCGTGAAGATCAGGGATAGAATAGGTCGTCAGCAACCCATGCTTGTCATAACAGGAAATATTGCTGAGTGCGGCGTTAAACAACAAACAACCAAAACCAAATCAAAGCACCATTAACATTTACAACTCTCAGGGCTCAATGTATATTCAACAAGAGTCATCAAAAGATGACAAATCTCCCCCACCCCGAAACATTCTAAAGAACAAATCGTCTGATTGTTACAGCAAGGTGAGGTGAGGTGAGGTGAAATGGGGTTTAACGTCGCGTCCAAGATTATTGCACTTATGTAGCGACGTGCATGCACGTGTGTGCGGCTGCCTGTACTAGTCCGGACTGATGCCGATTTATAGTACTAGCTCACTAAGATACCATACCGCAGTTTAAAATGAATAACTCCGAGCCGACCAATCCTTGTTTAACCCCTTAATGCCGAACGCCAGGCAGGGTGACAACAAGTACCATCTTTCAACGTCTTTCGGTGTGACGTGGCCGGGGATCGAACCCAGGACTTTCTGCTCTCCGGGCGGACGCTCTACCACTAGACCACGGAGACAGTCTATTATTAATGCTGGATTGGGTGACGATACTATCGAAGAATCACATGTAAAGACACAAATACCATTGACTATATTACTTCCTCTCCATCCGCTTTGCCTTTCTTCTCTCACTCTAGTGTAGGTGACTTGTGCCCATTGTTATCTGAGGTACATGGTCCAGTTTGGTGGGATCTAAAAATTATAAATAAAGAGAGTGTGAATCATGTCATCAACATTAAAGATACCCTGTCTACTGGCAAGCAGCAAAACAAGATTGATAATTGTAAACTGTCAGTCTTTGCACAACATGACATAAATCATCTTCCCGAAGTAAGAGAGTTAATTGACTACAATTGACTTTCGATTTCGGTGCGCGATTTTGATTTGGCTATGCATAGACTCATTAGTCCAGCCAAAATGTAACTCCATAATACCAGCCTAGTTCAGAAAGGGTGGAAACTGGACTTTTAGAGTCAGTTAACTATCTTGCCTCAGGAAGATGGACATAAATTCACTGACCCAGACTTATCTGACGCAATTAATTCACTCTCTTATAAAGTAACGCACATACATGTACTTGTTGATTTTGTACGGGTTGTATTTGGGTGTGTCCCGTTAAGGTAAATACTACTATTCATTGTAAACATGGTAGCAGTTCTGGTAAACCCTGGTTTGGACAGGAATGTAAACGACTACAAGTTTTCAAAGCTTGAAATCAGAATAAAAATACTCTTAGGGTAAATACCATAGAATGCAAAGGCACAAAAAACACACATGCCCTCCCTTACACGCACACACAGACACATAGACACACACATATACCGTATTCGACGTAATAAGCGCCCCGCTCTAATAAGCGCCCACGGCGATATTTGCTAATATATTGGTGCGTGAACAATCCCAATTACCACCCTTTCCGATTGATCAATGTACACAATACTTATTTATTCGTGTATAATACGGACTCGTGTGTTATATGCACCCTTAATTATGGGCAATTAAATTCTGGAAAAATATATCTCTCGTATATAAACATCAGACCGTCAGCATAAACCACAAAATTTATCTTTCAACTCTTTTTTTTGACAAAATAATATTCTAATAAGAGCCCCCTATTTCTAATTTTCTTATTACGTTGAATACGGTATATAAAAGAAAGGAAGCCAATGTCTTATATATATATTTATATATATATATAAGATAGCTATGTGATAAATCGCAAAGAACAATGAAGAACGAAGCTTGGTTTATTTCACGATAAAACATTGTTCTGTCATGACGTCATTTCTGGAGAATCGAACAAGTGCTCGCAACTTTATGACGTTGTAAGTTGGACAACATTATTTTTCAGAGGGAAGTGTTTAGTTAGTTGTTCCCCATAGATGAAGCTGGGCAACGTAGATAAACGCAATGGCCGAACAATCGCATCCAAAAGTGGGAGAGATGTGACAATCGATAGTGTGAGAAAAGGTACAGATAATCGACGTGAAAATTGTAAGAATATGCAGGAAAGACCATGGTTTATTCTCACTGCAGTGTTTTACTGAATGATAACAAATCCCACTCATCGTTTATTGTTATATCAGAAAGGATGATGTTATGTTTGAAGAATTTTATGGACATTTTAAGAAATGTATTGAGAGTGAATTTGATATTTCTCAGAAGGCTGCTATGACAATCTATCTCATTATGATGACATTAAATTATGTTGAATGAAGAGATATTGCCTCATTTTCTCATTTGAAGCAAGTCTATGTTGATTATTGCAATCTTATATTGTATCTGGGTGCCGTTGTACAAAGCGATCGTAACTCCCATACCTTAACATAGACTTACGACTGTCGCAGCGCTAAGGTTGTTTTGTACAACAACACCCTGTTACTGTTACCAAAAACCTGGCTCAGAGGTAGATAGGGTGTAGTTACTAGGGCTGGGACGAGTAACTCGGGTACCCAGGTCGGGTGGGTACTGAGTAGGACCCGGGTACCCACAGGACTACCCAGACAGGTGGTTAATCACGTGATATATTGTTTAATGACAAAAACTATAGCACAGTGGTTACACTACAAGTCGCTAATGTTCGCATTTCTTTCTGACGATGCACACATTCCTTTTGATTGTATATGTTTGAGAAAAGATAAAGCTTCAGTCAACTTCAGTGAACGCATGATCTGATTGTCTGATACATGTATCTAAATAGTTTGGGCAAGGGCAGTGGTAAAACGATTCCCAATTAGACATTTTGTTCCCATCTGTTGAGACCTGCAGTGGGTACCCGGGTAGGGTCGGGTAATAGGGGGTCGGTACCCGGGTAGTAAATGTGGACTCGTCCCAGCCCTAGTCATTACACTCAAGAGGAGAGTAGTATAAACAGTAAACACTGCCTCCAGCCTGTAAATATAAATGTATGCTTGTCTCGACTCCAGTGTAACTACATACCAATCTATTCAACAGTATAAACACTGCCTCCTATACCTGTATATATGCTTGTCAACCATACCCTGTACATCACTTGCTTGATAACGGTGTTAGAACCTACACCAAAACATCCCTCCTGATTGTAATAAAGAAGTTGTTCATCCATATATCTTATCCTAACTTGATAAATTAGCTACTTAAAAAAAGCTGATGCAGTTCTTTAGACATTTGAATGCTATACCCTGACATTTATTCGACCACATATGCCATCTTGATGTACATCTATTACAGCTTTGTCATTCATGTTAGTGAATGACTCATGTACTACTGATGGTGGTTATTGAGAAATAAAAGGATGAAAAACAACTACCGTATACCACAACGACTACGGTAACATTCGACTACAGCAATGACAACATCTATTTCTCAACAAACTAATAATCAACTAACATGAAAACCACAGCAACTACCACTGCTACTACTACAAAAACGGCTTCTAGTTTACGTATAGAACGACGACTACTTCGACTGTACCTCTATACTGGTGTGTGAAGACGGTCAACGCAGCACTAACTTGCGACATCGCAGGCTGTATTTAGTAAACATATATTCAAAACTCTCAACATCGCTGGGCTTTTTTAATGACATTGCGTGTAGAGATGATAGATCTCTGAGAGGAGTTTATGCACACCCGCCGAGCCCAGCAACAATGTTGATAAGCTTACGGCACCGGGTATTGTTTCGCCAGTGTGGTTTTGCAACAAACCGTATTCGATGAAATAAGCGCTCCAACTAGAAAGTGCCCACGGAGATATTTGCTAATATATATTGGCAAGTGAACAATCCCAAAAGCGCCCTTCGATTGATCACTGTACACAAAACTTATTTGTTCATGTATAATATGCACCGTTAATTATGTGCATAAGTCCTGGAAATATATCTCTCTCGTGCATATTATACGCACATACTTTTCTTTAGAATCATTTATGACTGTCATGTTCCGTCATCGGAAATTGGATATCAACAAATCCGTATTGAATTACGCAATTTAACCCTTTTATTACACTATTTAAGTGTTCATTGTTTATCTGGACTTGTGTTTGTTACCTATTTTTATTCATAATTTCATTCTATAATGTTTACGCTAATTTTAGCGAAATCGTATGTTCCTCCGAGGCCCTCCGGACCCCTCCGATACTTACAACTTCCGCTTACCCCGTTCCATAGGACCCGCCTTACCACATACCGCGACAGGTCACATTATTCATTGGCGGGTCCAGAGGGCGGGGTGGTAGGCTGTTTGGGTGGGTCCAGGGGATCCATTTATCTTTCAATACTTTAGATAATCTAGAAGGGATTTTTTTTAATGAAACAAAATACAATTACTCTTGCCAAAGAAAGTTAAACATACACTTTATACAAATATGTTATGACATGTATAATTAATAAACATGTACACTGTACAATTAAAATTCAATTATTAAAACCGCTAGTCGCACACGATCTTAGATGAAAAAAACTTATGAGAAACGCTTATGGTTTTGAATTTTGTCACACTGACACAAATGAGATTCAGAATAAATAACGACGCTTGATTAAAACCAACACTGACTTGATTATTTACAGACCGCCCTGGAATATTGCTGAGTGCGTCGTTAAACAACCAACAAACAAAACGAAAGCGGAACTACCCGAATCACTGACCCTTGACATAGCAAGCTGAAGTGTGCCATATAACTGTTTGTTTGTTTGTTTTGTTTGTTTGTTGTTTAACGCCGCACTCAGCAATATTCCAGCTATATGACGGCGGTCTGTAAATAATAGTCTGGACCAGACAAACCAGTGATTGATATCATGAGCATCGATCCACGCAATTGGGATCGATGACATGTATCAACCAAGTCAGCGAGCCTGACCACCCGATCCCGTTAGTCGCCTTTTACGACAAGCATAGTCACCTTTTACGGCAAGCATGGGTTGTTGAAGACCTATTCTACCCCGGAATCTTCACGGGTCCCATATAACTGATGTTCTATTGTGACATTAAACCTGCTCCCTCCTTTTGTTCTGCTGTTTCTTGTCGTCAACTGCTACAGGTATGCTTGTGACACGTACACAGTTAAAATCTCATTGTCTAGAAATTATGTTAATAATATGGAAATTGTTATTTTGAGATTCATATGTTTTCATATTTATATGATCGACCATCATTTACGGGTTGTGTTATCTTTCTTCTTCACATATACCACAAAGTAAAACACCACCCGATTCTTTCATTACTATAGTTAATATTTATATGAGAGTTAATGTGTCATGCCTAACAGATTAATATAGGAATATGAAAAATCGAGTGTTCCTTATCTTGTTTTGAGAAGTATATATGTAAGAATACCGTTGTCATTTGTTGATGAAGGTATTTAGAAGTGATTGTTGACAATAATGATTTTGTCGAGACTGTGTGGTTCAGACTTAATTGTGTACAGGAATATTGTCTAGTTCAGACTTATTTATGTACAGAAATATTGTGTGTGGTTCAGACTTACTTATGTACAGGAATATTGTCTGGTTCAGACTTAATTACGTACATGAATATTGTGTGTGGTTCAGACTTACTTATGTACAGAAATATTGTGTGTGGTTCAGACTTACTTATGTACAGGAATATTATCTGGTTCAGACTTAATTACGTACATGAATATTGTGTGTGGTTCAGACTTACTTATGTACAGAAATATTTTGTGAGGTTCAAACTTACTTATGTACAGGAATATTGTGTGTGGTTCAAACTTACTTATGTACAGGAATATTGTGTGTGGTTCAGACTTAATTGTGTACAGGAATATTGTATGTGTTTGAGACTTATTTACGTTCAGGAATATTGTGTGTGGTTCAGACTTATTGACGTACAGGAATATTGTCTGGTTCAGACTTATTGACGTACATGAATATTGTGTGTGGTTCAGACTTACTTATGTACAGGAATATTGTGTGTGGTTCAGACTTATTTACGTACAGGAATATTGTGTGTGGTTCAGACTTATTTACGTACAGGAATAGTGTGTGGGTCAGACTTATTTACGAACAGGAATATTGTGTGTGGTTCAGACTTAATTATGTACAGGAATATTGTGTGTGGTTCAGACATAAGCATGAACAGGAATATTGTGTGTGGTTCAGACTTATTTATGTACAGAAATATTGTGTGGTTCAAACTTACTTATGTACAGGAATATTGTGTGTGGTTCAAACTTACTTATGTGCAGGAGAATTGTGTGTGGTTCAGACTTAATTGTGTACAGGAATATTGTATGTGTTTGAGACTTATTTACGTACAGGAATATTGTGTGTGGTTCAGACTTATTTACGTACAGGAATATTGTGTGTGGTTCAAACTTACTTATGTACAGGAATATTGTATGTGTTTGAGACTTATTTACGTACAGGAATATTGTGTGTGGTTCAGACTTATTTACGTACAGGAATATTGTGTGTGGTTCAAACTTACTAATGTACAGGAATATTGTGTGTGTTTGAGACTTAATTATGTACAGGAATATTGTGTGTGGTTCAGACTTATTTACGTACAGGAATATTGTGTGTGGTTCAAACGTACTTATGTACAGGAATATTGTGTGTGTTTGAGACTTATTTACGTACAGGAATATTGTGTGTGGTTCAGACTTACTTATGTACAGGAATATTGTACGTGTTTGAGACTTATTTATGTACAGGAATATTGTGTGTGGTTCAGACTTATTGACGTACATGAATATTGTTTGTGGTTCAAACTTACTTATGTACAGGAATATTGTATGTGTTTGAGACTTATTTACGTACAGGAATATTGTGTGTGGTTCAGACTTATTGATGTACATGAATATTGTTTGTGGTTCAGACCTATTTACGTACATGAATATTGTGTGTGGTTCAGACTTATTTACGTACAGGAATATTGTGTGTGTTTGAGACTTATTCATGTACAGGGATATTGTGTGTGGTTCAGACTTAATTATGTACAGGAATATTGTGTGTGGTTCAGACTTAATTATGTACATGAATATTGTGTGTGGTTCAGACTTATTCATGTACAGGGATATTGTGTGTGGTTCAAATTATTCATGTACAGGAATATTGTGTGTGGTTCAGACATTAACATGTACAGGAATATTGTGTGTGGTTCCTTATGGAAAAAGCTTCCCACATCATCAGCCGCCTCCTTAAACAGCAAGCCAAAATGGACACCTACTTCACCAGCTCCACCTTCCATGATAGTAGGGCTGGGACATAATTTGAACCCTAATTTGGGGCTGAGTCCAAATTTAGTACCCGGGTACCCGACCCCTATTACCAGTACCTACCCGGGTATTCACTGTAGGTCTCAAGTGGGGTACAAAATGTTCATTTGGGAATTGTTTTACTGATGCCCTGGCAAAAAGTATTTAGATAGGGTACAAAACGATCTGATCATGCATACACTGAAGTCGACTGAAGCTTAGTCTTTACTCAGTCATGTAAAGGAATGTGCGCGTAGTCAGGAGAAATACGAACATTAGCGACTTGTACTAGTGTTATCATACAATGTTATTGTTATTGTATTTAAACAATATATATAGCTGACTAACCACGGGTCCGGGTAGTCCTGTGGGTACCCGGGTCCTACTCAGGACCCACCTGAGTACCCGAGTACCCGAGTTACCCGTCCCAGCCCTACTCAATACCATTAGAGCCACCAACAGAAACCTCACCATTCCCCGAGAACCTAACGGTGTAGTTTATTAAATTGACTAGCTGTGACACAATGTAGGTGACACATCTAGCCATCAACACCAGAATCAAAGAGCACAAAACTTCAACCATCAAATCAGCCATCTTGGACCCAAAGCACATCATCCAAACCCTCTCCAACAACCCCCATGACCTCACGAATTGAAGGGTAGGAGAGATCAGGGCTGTTTAATCCCACCCACCTACTATAAACTCATCAAGCAACAGTTTTACCAATGTAGACTTTATCCGGTTTAATTTGTTTCCGATTTAATTGCTTTCTTTTTTATGTGTTATCTGTCAATCATGTTGTTACACTATTACTTCGGGTTATTAATATTTAACCTACTCATGTTAATTTCTCATGTATGCAATTGTCGTCACTGTTAATCCTCCATATACCATACATAACTCTGTACCGTGTTCATTATTCAGCCCTGATCGACAAGGGTCCAATGATCTACCGTTGCTACTACAGTATAATGAAGATGTGATCAATAATTTGTGTCCACTTTGACATTGTAAAATACACACGTTATCAGTCATTTAAAAGAACTATCTCTCTACGTGAGCTCTCACAGTTGAGACAGACATGACGTCACTCTGGAATGTCATTGTACAATGGATGACGTCAAGTGATTCCGAGATAATTAATAACACCCAGATAAATCCAAGTTGTTCTGATAACTATTGATCCAAGTAAATATTTAATTCACATGGTATCCATTTTACCAAGGTGAAAATCCACGATTGAGGGAAAAAGACCAAAACTAGTCAAGAAACATATTCATACGCAGTGAAAACTCCAAGAGACTTTTAGACTTTGAATCCAATTTAATCAAGTTTCTCAACCAGATTGCAACACACACTCCCATTTGTTCTGCACTGAGGCACAAAACAGCTACGACTGATTAAGACTGTAACACAAACAGGAGACAATTTTATAGTAATGTGAAGGCCTTGCACCACTCGAAGGCCTG